TGGGACAGTCCCCAACAATTTGTTTCAACAATTTGCCCTACGACGTTTAAAAAAAATCCCGATTTTCGGAAATAATGTACAAGCTATGGAACGGCAGGAGAACGGGAAGAGAATATACAGTTTTCGGCGGCTATGTGGCTATTTTGCCAGGATATGAGTTTTATATTATTTTTGTTAATTTTATAATGTTAAACTTTAATGATACCAAATAATTGTTGAGATAATAATTGTTGAGGACTGATTAGTAAAGTTCACATTGTTGATCAGTTGTTAAAATTCAAGCACCATTGTTTGGATTTATGAAACTAACCGAAAATGATCTTTTTAATAAGGTATCGATAACTGTTTGTTTAAGTAGAAGGTTAAATCTTTGTCATCACCATTTAACTTCATTTGCTACTTTGATTATTAAAATGTTGTCACCTTCAATAAGCTTTATAGCCTTTTGGGAAAGAGCTGCTTATTGTGTACAAACTGCTGATACAAAACATCGTAAGTCTTAAAAACTGTATCATTATTGAAGTCATAAATTAGACGTTAAATACACCATCAAATTATTCGCTCTCAAAAATACGTCTTTAGAACTAAAATCTTTACTTTATGTCAGCTGATTTTGACATAGTACCTGATTAACATTTGCACCAGATGTAAAATTAATTATTGTCACAACAAATTTTGACCATCCTCTTCCTCCCTCCTCCTCTCCCCTGTCAATGGTGTCCTGCTTTGCCAATGTTAAAATCTGGTCACCTTAGCCATATCGTTCGTTTTATTCTCTTTCAATGAAAAAGAAATATTAAGAAGAGATATGAGAATGAAACGTAAAAATGAAAGAAGAATTATATTTGTTGAATTGATACGCTGTACTTCTGAAATACGTATTTCCGAGAGGCATGATATGATGAAAATTAAATAATAACCTAAGAGTTACTATGCAAAATTAAAAGGAATTTAGAACAAAAAAACTAACTAGGGATTTATATGATCATTGACATAGAAATAAATAATGAAATTATACATAAAGGGTATATGCCATTCTTTGAAGCTGATCTTTATTATCTATATTAAAAAGGACGATTACTGCAATAAATGTTGCAAATTATATTATATCAAATGTCTGGGTGTACCTCAACGCTGAAAAACTTAGATAATAATATATACTTTTAATATTTTTTAATAGTAAAAAGTACACTTAAATTTTTTACATTTCTTCGTTCATTTCAATTTTTTCTAGTTAATTTATTAGTTATTTTTGTCAGAAATATAACATATTTAACGTAATCTATCAAAATATGGACGAAAACTCAGCCAGCTTTGGCCTTCCACACACAGTGCAAATGATGTGATCTGGGCGCATGTGGCAAGCTGACCTGACACTGCTAATACTTTTTAATTTTTAGTTTTACACCACCTTAATATGTTTACGCCGACATGTACCACTGATGACTCGTACAAGACTGCCTCATTGAGCAGTTCATAGCACCGGTGGCTCGCAAAAGACGGCCTCATCAGTTTATACGTAGCACCGGTGGCTCATATTTGATTGTGTCATCAGATGGTGCGTACACATAAAATTAAGATTCTAATTGCCAAATAATAATACCAACAATTTAGAAAAATTGCCACATAGATGAAAATTAAAATAATAAAAATTAAATGTATGATAATTTATTTTTAACATTTATTATAATTAATGTACTGCAATCATAACTATGATTTAATGATATCAATATGAATTTAATTCAATAACATTAACATGATAATTCAATATTACGTATGTAACTTAAGTTAATTTTTGTTTTATGCTTTAGTATGAGCGTATACGATAGAACGAAACACAAATAGCAATCCTGTTTGACGTGTTATGAGTAATTTAAGTGTTTCTCCATTTTGATGGATGGACCAAAATCACATGATCTCGCTACTGGTGGAAATTCGAGAGTGCCTGACTGAATCCGAGAACAGACAGAGGTAACTGAGGTATCCGTCTGTTAAGGCTGGGTAGCCCTTAACTCTTAAGAGAATTTTTTTTTTTTTTTTTTGAGTCGAAAGCAGCAATGTAATCAAAGCTAATTAAGGCCCAATTTTAATATTAAAGTACCAGATAATAGTTTGTGGAAGACGTTAATCACAATATAAATAAAAGGGGATGATAACATGAACAGGTTGTCAATACTCCGCAGTTCTCGGAATTTCATCTACAGTGTGATTATGAGATCTTGGCCATCAAAGTGGAGTAATACTTGTAAAGTAGTACATCAATTTTAATAATTCAGATGTATTAGCTTACTAAAATTGGTACTAGTTCACATGAATTCCACATGGATTACACGTGGTTCTCAATCACTTCGGTCACACTTGTTCATGGAGTGCCGAATGCGTTCATTTTTATCAGAAAGAGAATGAAGGCGACTGATCTCTTGAGTCAGCTACTATTAACTTTCCCACCATTTAAGTAATTCTATAATCTTAACTATGTTCAGTTATACAGCAGAAGTCGACTTATATTGGAAACTTAAGCTACATCATGTAACCTTAATTGAACTTGTACATATATTATACAGCAGTGGAAAAGAAATAGTAATCGATAAAAACCTTTAATTATTATACTTCTGAATGCTATTTCACAATATTATTTTTCTTATTGATGATATCCATTATTCATTATCTCAGAATTATCAGATATTCTTCTTCAGTTGTTTCCCCAATACTTTAATTTGTTCCTCGAAACGTTTTTTTTTTTTTTTTTTTTATTGACTACAGTAAGTTGCCATTTTCGGATTACTAAGCATAAAAGTGGTGTAGAAATGGTTGACCATGATAAAATATGGAGGAGTTGAGGAATGAAAGGATTAAAATACTATTTTAAAAATTTAGTATTTATTTGACTGCAACCCCCGGCCAACTCCTAACAAAAGTAGTATAGATTAAAATGAGAAAATACATTTTAAGTTACCAGTATAGCCCAACTAATTGTCTGATCTATTGTTTCCGTTTTTATTTCATTTCAAAAAGCATTTTTTTTTTTTTTAACAAGCCTTGAAGGACGACTCAAACATAATTTTATAAATATTTTTTCTTATTCTTTCAGAATAATAACTGTTATAATAAAAATTAATAATTAACAAATTAGTATATACATAATTCGCTAATAAATTGTTAATAGGATAGTTCCATGAAGGGATTACGTCGTTTTATTTTTTTTTAAGAATGCATGAAATGGGATTGTGTGGTGGGGGCAATAGCTGACCTCATAAAAGACAACAACATTTGGCTATTTTCGGGATTCCATAAACAAGTGTGATCGAAGTGATTGTGAACCAAGCGTAGTCTGTGCGAAACTCATTTGAACTAGTACCTTAAACTTTTATTATTTATATAATGTATACTATAATATATTACACATTATATGTATATATATTATACGTCAAAATGGAGCATAAAACTCTTGGATCTGCAGTTGATATAGCTGTCCTTGGAAGTAATCAAGAGGTCATTGAGAAACTCACTAAGACTGTGATTAGAAAGCCAGAGCAGATCGACCTACAAGTAAATAAAGAAAATACAAAATATTTGCTAATAGACAGAAAATTCCACCTCAATAACAGGTTCTGCATAGAAGGAAAATCATTCCCGAGAGAACAAAAATTCAAATACCTTGGCTCCACCATAACTTCAATGAATGACCAACGGTCAGAAATAGACCAGTGTATAACTAGCTCAAACAGAGCTTTCTTCTCCCTTTCATTTAAAGGTATTTGAATCCCAAAAAATATCAAAAAATTTTTGAATTAAGTACGTACAGTGCTATGATAAAGCCTGTTCTAATATATGGCTGTGAGACCTGGACATTAACCAGCTCCCTAGAAAAAAGTATTGAAAGATTTGAGAGAAAAATCCTCCGCAGGATAACCGGAGCGGATCTGGGATCAAAGTACTAACACATGGGGAAGAAGAACCAATAAAGAACTGATGACAGAAAATAGTCAATCAATATCCCATGGTATGAAGGCATGGAGGTTAAGATTGGCGGGCCATGTAACTCGTACCACCCATCTGGAATCCTCTAGATAACATAGAATTCCTCAATAAAAGGCAAAAGACCTCGTGGAATGCCAAAAAGCAGACGGATAGATAGAATCAATAAAGATACAATAGAGTTGTGTGCAGGTTAAAGAAATAACCTAAGACAGGCAGAGATGAAGCAACTTGTTAAGGCAGCAACAGATCTACAAGATCTGTAAGGCCAAAAAATAATAAAATAAAATATATAAATTATTGTATAATTTTTAAACTATCTAAATTTCCATAATGATGTAGAGATGGTTGACCTATAGTGATATAATATGAGAAGGAGTTAATTGGGGGGTGCGGTCAAATAAATATTAAATTAAAATATAGTAATTATTTAATTTTTGCCGACGTTTCGGTCCACTTTGCAGGTCGTCTTCAGGGCGTAGGATGTAGCCCTGCGGGAGGTAGTTGAAACATTCAAACTTTCTTATAAACATTCAAACATTCAAACTTATTTCAACTGCCACCCGCAGTGCTACATCCTACGCCCTGAAGACGACCTGCAGAGTGGGCCGAAACTTCATCAAAAATTAAATAATCACTATATTTTAATATAGTATTTATTTGACTGCACCCCCCAATTAACTCCTTCTCATATCTAAATTTCCATCATTTCATTGTGCATATTTTTAATTATTGATAACTAAACACTATTTTTCTCATTTACTAATAAAAATTTCCTAGATAGATCTTATCCATAAAAAGGTTGTAAATTGCTATATTTTCAGTCCATTTTTTCTCTATATCTTAGTACAATAGTGATTATTCAATTAAATTAAAAATCTATGGGATTTTAGTTATTATGATTTCACTAAGAATGAATTTTTAATTTATTCAATTATGTTAATCAAATTATTAGTTTAAGTTATTTTAATTTAAATGATAGACTGCCACTGACTTACCAGTGCAAGCTGGTCGATTTACAGTTTTTAAAAGGTAAATTTTATTTTTAATTTAAATAATTTTCTTAATTATAGAGGAGATATTTCATTTCTTTTTAGACCCTGTTTTTCCAGCCAATGCAATGGTAAAAAGACAGATTAAGAAAGAAATTAAAGAAGAACCTGATTTTTCTCCTTATAGTAAGTATATTTTTTTTATCCTGCTTAAGTTTTTATTTTTTTTATAGTTTGTTCTTCTTGCCGTTGTATAATTTTAAAAATGTTTGAAAATTATGCAATAATCAATCTCTAAAGTTCAGGGCTTCTGATGAGGAATTTAGTCAATAAATAGTTACATTTTTTTTTTTTTTATATTTTATGTCTTTGTTAGCGAGTAAGAAATTACTGGAAATGGTCAAGAAGATAATGAAGGAACAAAGTTAGATAAAATAGTTCAAGTGAATATTGAACTAGTAAAAATAAAAAACTTTAATTACCAGAAAGATAATAAGTAGTCAGGACTTATTCATTGTAAAACTTTTTATTGTACAAGCTGTGTTTTTAGGGACTTTTTATTTTTAGGGATAGTGCACGTATGATGTATTCTGGTTGCCCAGTAGCATGAGCCGCCTATCATTCTTCCTTTATTACTAAGGAAATGATAAAACTTATAAGCAACCTCAAGAAAATGGGCCTCCATTCGGAAAACACTTCTAGTGAAGAACGGAAGAAAACGCTGTCCATGAAGTTGTATCATAGCGTTGATGGTAAGGCATTAAGGGAGTCAAAAAACTGCCACCCATCAACTCATTGGTTGACAGACTACGCTGCTCCGGTAACAGGACGGACCTTCATACAAACAGTTAGAACCCATATAAATGCCCTCGCTACCTGAGTGAGATTATCCAGAGGACGTAGGGCCTTTATGCCGACCCTATGTAGACCTGGGTGTCCTGCAAGCGAAACTGCCTGCCACATTATGGCAGAGTGCGGCGGTGGCATGATACAGTGGTGAACATGTTGAAAATTGCTCTCCATAAGAAAGGATATAGGATCACAAAGGAACAAATATTTATTGGTTAGAGACGAAGGTGGAAGCCAGACCTGGTGTGCTCAGGACCAAGCGGAAACTTCATTATATATGCAGAGGTCGTCGGAGGTAACCCTAGCACCACCCACTGCAATAATGTTAAAGCCAATAAATATAGGGACCTAGATTGTAGGAGGGCGTACACTGGTATTGCCAGGCGTGGACATAAAAGTACTCACAGTAACTTGGAGAGCAATATGATGCCGACGCTCTTTCCAAGGCATGGATATGTTGGCCATTTGGAAATTTATCAATTTCTTTATTTTATTTTATTTTTATTATTTTTTGTTATTTTTATTTATTATTTTATTTACTTATGTATTATAGTATTACTTACTTATTACTTATATTGGGGATTGGTTGCTACTTCCGTAGTTTTAAAAATTACTTCATATATAGTGTATATTTTATGTATGTATATGAATATATATATATATATATATATATATATATATATATATATATATATTTGTCTTTTATATTTTTATCGACGCAGCTGCATTTTGTATGTAAATGCAATGCTCAGTATATTATAACTTAATGATAGTATGTTTTTTTATACGATTCTTGGATTCCAATATCCAAGATAAAACGTTACGATGGTGAAGGCAGCACCAAATTGAATTGGAAATTAAGAAAGTTGCTGGAGTGTTGTTATGTTGAGTAATGTATTAGCTATGTATGAACTACCAAATAAATAAATAAAATAAAATTATCTTTGTAATTAAATCAGTGTAAAAATTACATATTGAAATAATTTATTGGTAACTTTTCAGATTTAGCCAGTCTTAAGAAAATGGATGTGAAGGATAAGATAGCATGTGAGTTTTGTGTTTTACTTTTTTATTAATATAAATCAGTAGAAAACTCACCAACAGACAGAAATCTAATATTAGGTTATAATTGGAAAAATTCCAACCACACAGCCTCATGTCTCCAAAATGCTGGTAAAAAAAAAAAAAAAAACAAACAAAGAAAAACAAATAGTAGATGACATCCACTCCATAATATCCACACGCATACAGTGTATGTATGGATGTCATGGAGTGATGTGATGTATTTGCTTTTCTTTTTTGCCCTCGTGATGCCTGAATTGGCAAAATATTGGCGTTTTTTTTAATTTTACAGGCATTTTGGAGACATAAGGCAGCATAAGGCATAATTGGAAATTTTCCAATTATAACCTTACTTTTTTATATTTACTGTATTTAGCTTTAGTTTCAGTTACTGATTTCACAGATACTACTATGATAGACTTTTGCTTTTTTACAGATGTGGTTGATCTGCAGCAAGAGAAGGTCTTGATTGGAGGTTAGTTTTTTTTTTTTTTTAGACATGCTCAGCTAATTTTTCAACATAAGGAGCATTCACATAACTTTTGATAAATGCTTATTGTGTTAAGGTGGTAAACAGTCAGCATAAACCTCTCAGTGCTAGCCTGCTGTAGTGTTATTAGATAGATATATTTATTTATAAATATCCCCACTCATGATAACTTGGGTTTCAATTGTTTTGGTTGATTATTTTCAATAATCAATCTTGGTAACTGACCGAAAAAAAAAACTTCAAAATTTGGGGTTTTATGTTTCAAGATAGTAGGATCCGAGAATTGAATAAAACTTAATTCATCCTCATATTTTTTTTGCATAGTTCCGAAACTACTGGACCGATTATTTTGAGATTTGTTGTCAATGTCATAGGGCATCCAGGAATGATCCTCGGAACTTGCCATTACCGTCTGCTCTTCCTTTTTAAGATGGAACCCAAAAATCTGTTTCACTATAGCAGAAGTGCTTAAACTGATGCACTGATTTTAATGAAACAATGTTGAAATCTTATCCTCGTAGATTTTTAAATTTATATGTATAACATACTTCACTGTGAAGTACTTTCCATTCCAGATGGAGGCTGAAAAACTTGTGGTATAGACAGTAGCACCTAAAACAATGAACTGATTTTAATGAAACTTGGCTAAGGTGTTTTCCTCAAAGGCCATTAAAAAAAAATTGGAATAGTAAAAATCACTTAAAGAACACCCATGTCGAGACGCAAGCTGAAGTTGGAAAGTTATTTCTAGTAGATGACACAACAGTTTCGAAATGTTTGAAAGCATTAGGAATTAGGAATCATTCAGAAGCGAGGAAATTTGGTACAGTACAGCTTGTGTAGATGTTTTCTGCATTGTTTTATGACTGATAATGAAAACTGGATACAGCACGATAATCATAACCTTAAAAAAATCATGGGTTAAGTCAGGCCATGTCTCAAATTCATCTGCAAAGCACATTATCCATGATTCGAAGCTTCTGTGCATCTGGTAGGATCAGCTGTAATTTATTATAATCTGCTCAAGCTCAATGAAAACTATCATGGAAGATTGCTATGGACTACAATTGAGGTGCCGAGCACCAAAAAAAAAAAAAAAAATTGCCTCCATACGAGCAGAGATACAATGAGATGATTTTATTACATGACGATACTCGGCCAAATGTTGTAAAACCAGTAAGAATCTATCTGGAAATGCTTGAATGGAAAGTTCAGCCCCACCTGCCGTACTCATGGAATATAGGACCTTCTGATTATTACTTAATTTGTTGAATAGTACAAGGATTGGCTGAGCAGCCATTCCATTCTTACGAAGATACCAAAAACTGGGAAGAGTCTTGGATTGCCTTTAAATGTTGCCTTTGAATTTATATGTTGCCAGAAAGATGAGGGAATGTGGTGGCTAGTGATGGGAAATATTTTGAGTGGTATGTTTTTTACCACTTATTTTAATTAAAGTATTAATTTTCATGAAAATACAGCAAGAATATATTCATGGTCTTTATAAAAGTATGTGGATTTAACCTTTTAAACTATAAAATTCAAAATATATTTAATAAATTATTATTAACTCCATATCTAATTTATGAATTAGCATAATTTGTGTAGCTGTTGTTAATATGTGTATGTGTGAGTGTCTACTCTACAAAAAGTAATTGTTTTATTTTTGTTGTTAATTTTGTCAATTGCTCATTGATAAAGATTTTTTTTTTAAGCTTATTTGTTAAAATTTACAACTGTATTACATTTAAAATACAAGTAAATTTGAAATCAGTAACATGATATGACAACATGAAGAGAAACTACCTATTGGTAGTACTCCAACTATACGAGGGTGGTCTGAAAAGTTTCCGACCTAACAAAAATACTAGACATTTTTGCTGAAATTTTTTAAAAAAATTTTCAACATAGTCTCCTTGCAACTCTACACACTTCTCCCAGCGATGCTCTCATCTCTGTAACCCGTCCAAAAAGGACTTGGCGTTTTTCTCTGCAAAATAATTGTTTACGAAAGTGATTGCCTTTTCATTCAAAAATCTCTGTCCTCTAAGCACAATTTTGAGATAAGGGAACAGAAAGGAGGGGCTAGATCTGGTGAGTTAGGCGGATGGTCAAGCAGTTCAAACCCCTATTTGTGGATTTTCGCCATGGCAACCGCTGAGATGTGAGACGGTGCGTTGTCTTGGGGAAACAGGATTTTATTTTTCTGCAAATGTGGCTGTTTTTCCGCATGTTCTGCCTTCAGCTTGTCAAGTAATGATGCGTAATATGCTCCTGTAATAATTCTTCCTTTTTGAAGATAGTCATGTTCATAACATCTGCTATCTCTCTCACTTTAATTCGGCAGTCGTCTAGCACTTGGTAAACTTTGATGATGTTTTCATCGGTAGTTGCAGTTTTTGGACATCTCAAACGTTCATTGTCTTCCAAGCTCTTACGTCCACGTTTAAATTCTGCTGTCCAAAATTTCACTGTGGTAAATGCCGGTGCAGAGTCTCCATACACAGAATCCAACTCATCTATGCTTTGCGTAGGCGTATTGCCTTTCAAAAACAAATATTTAATGACAGCTCGATACTCGATACTCGATTTTGTCATTTTCACAAAAACATTCACATCAACTCACTCAAATGACTGTTACGTAAAAACTGCAAGTCCAAAATGGCTGAAACTTTGGTGGGTAACTGTCAACAGATGAACAACGAAATTCACTTGCTTTTATTTAGGAGTGCTGCCATCTTCACATTGCGGTCGGAAACTTTTCAGACCACCCTCGTAGTTCTATATTAGAAGGTCCTGAGGCCATCTTCTTTTCAGACGCTTTGGAGGGTTATGAGGAATAGAAGATGAAGCAAGGTTAGAAACAAGAGGGTTCGGATGGTTCAGAAGTTTATTATGGAAGGATAGGTATCTAGATTGAGCTACATAAGAAACATATAGTACATTAAGGTCGTTATAACCTCAACCTTATTAAACCCATTAAAACAAAGAAGTTATACCAGAAGAACTAAGATCCTTGGCTCTTGAAACGATTGCTGAACGTTATCCAAGCTCTCCGTGTATTCATGTGTACACCAATGGTCTGCCGAACTAGTAACACACAATGCAGGGGCAGGTGGATACTCTCAACTGTTTGCTATTTCAAAACCGGTTGGGAAATGTGCCTTAAATTTTGACAGTGAAATAAGAGCAATTTTATTGGCACTGCAAGCCTTGTCTCACTTAGATACCAAAAATCTCGTATTGTTTGTGGATTCAAAGGCGGCTGGCTATTCTCGCTTTGTCACAGCTAAAAGACTCTTTTGCTCAGGATATTCAGCAGTGCCAGATGATCTTAGAGGAACTACTTCTTAGAGCAACAGAGGTATTCTTTCAGTGTATACTAAATCACTGTGGTCTCAATGGAAACGAAATGGCTGATAAACTAGCCAAAGAGGGTTCCACATTTAACCAGCCAGAAAATGAAATATATCAGAGAGCTAAAAAAGAAACAAATAAGGCTAGTGAGGCTCTATCACTGAATTCCGTAAAGAATTGTATTACAGAAAAGCAGTGGAGAAATTTGTTTAATGAAGTGGCTCGAGTTGTTATGAACCTGCCGAGAAAGGAGGCTTTGGCAGAGTTCCGGATGATATCAGGCCACGACTACATTAGGAAGCACCTTCATAGAATAGGAGTAGCAGTATGTAATTCGGGAGCACATATTGACGTAGCGCATTTAGGTGTATCTTCGCATTTGTTGAACATAAGAGATACAATGTCGTCCAAATCAGAATGGTACTGGGCTGCAAGATCTCAGTATTTCAAGTCTCACATCTAAAATATGTCAAGATCAAGTTACATAATGTATTATTAATTATTTACACTGGTAAATCTCGGGACAAGCTTTTATATCATACAAATTGTATACTGTAATTAATTAAAGGATTGAAATTAATTGAAGGATTGAAAGCACTTTGCCATTTGTATAAAGAAAATTGCCACAATAAATAAATAGAGCGATCAAAAATTTTTTCTATATTGGAAATTTCACAGATATGGAAATATGGCCCCTTTTGGACTCGCTCTTACTGCGAAACGGTTAATCTTGCAAAAAAAACATTATTTATGAAAAATGTACTTTTATATTATATAAATTTTATAATGTAATAAATTGTTAAAAAACACAGCAAGGGTGATTTACGCGAAATCGATAAATTTCACCTGATATGAAAATATGGTCCCTTTCAGGCTCGCTCTAGCAGCGAAATGGCCAGTCTTACAAAAATACGTAGTCTGCTTTGTCTATTTTAATTTTGTGTAGAATGGGTTTGTCGAAAAAACGCTTCCTTTTTGAGATATAAGCTGACAACTTAAAGCAGTGCCAATATTTGGTCAAAAAGTGCCCATGAAACAAAATTTTTGCCAGCAAACTTCAAATTCGTGTTCAGCGACCCAAAAAACATAAAGGGTGAGAAAATAAAAACTTTAGCAAAACTTGTTTCTGAGCCCCATTTTTTTTGCTAATATGCCTAGCCTATGTGGCTTTTGTAAATAATTGGAAATTTAGAGCATTTGTTTAGTAATTGCTGGAGTTAGCAAAAGTGTTGGGCGGTTTCTAATCGTTTCAGTCTGGTATCAGGGTTCTAAGTGAGTCGTTTGTCCAGGTAGAGTCCTAGGTATCAGATTTACTCTGCAGGGATAAGTGGGGTATTGTTCAAGGATACTGTAGGACAGGAAGTCATAGGTTTACGACAACGGGTAAAGGTAATTTGATGGGATTTATTGAAATTTATTTTAATCCTCCAGTTTTGACACTATTTTTCAAGACTTGAGATGTGTGATTGAAGAGTTTGGGATGCAATCAATGGATCATTATTAACTGTTAAGATAAACGTCTCATCGGCATAGGTGGTGACGACAGCGTTTGTATGGGTTAGGATGTCAGCTGTATAAACTGTGTAAAGGATAGGACCTAGGATACTACCTTGACGAACACCAGAAAACTGAGAAAAAAAGAGATAAATAAGCATTATTGTAATTTGCTTTGAATTATGTCAGTAATGTATGAACAACTAATGAAGAGGTATGTAGTTGGTAGGAATTTACGGAGTTTGTACAGCAGTCCCAGGTGCCAGACTATCAAACACCTGTTCAACGTCGAGAAAGACTCCCATACAGTACATTATGCGCTCCAATGCAGAGGAGACTACGTCTACCACATGATGACATTGCTGAATAGTGGAGTGGGATGTGCAGAATCCAAATTGGTCATCTGCAATTATGTGTTTAGAGTCTAGGATGGGATTCAAGCGTTTTGATAAAGAATTAAACATAAATATTATGCGCACATGAAACCAGATGCCGTTTATTGCTGATTGTTTATGCCTTAGCATGTTATCAATTCATTTCCTCATATGTTTAATGATTTTTTGTTTCAAATTTCTCTTTAGATCACAATATGGCTTCTAAAGTAATAATAAAACAAGAAGTTCTTGGAGATGAAGACATAGTTGAAGACAGTATTCTTGATGGAGAATTTATTTGTGAGTATTCTATTTATTTATTTTCTATGTTAATAAATTTAAAAATGAATTAATAAATTCATACGAAGAGCACTTTTTACTTTGACTTACCTATTTATGTAATACATAGTAAGTGTAAGTATTGCGATTGTGAAAATTTTTGAATCTGAGTTTTCAATGGAAATACACGTTTTGAGGTCCCCTGAGTCCAAATAACCAAGTCCCAAAAAATGGTCTGTGTGTATTTGAATACTCTAGATCGAAACCGAAAAGTCGTACGAAACTGATATTACATATTTAAGATAGATATATGTCTTAGATGTCATGGCAACTTTTTCCTTAAAATCGGCTAACCAGAAGTGCCACTTTATATCAACGCTGAAATACATTTTTACAATTTTCAAAAAAATGGCTGTGACGATTTTGATTAAACTCAGTGTATCATTGTATAATTAAGTGCTCTTTAATATCATTTAGGTCTTATCCCCATTGATGTCACTTTACAGGGCTTAAATGCCCAATGTTCATATGCGTCTTCCTCTAAAGTTCCTTTAATATGGTTTATTTTAAATAATCAACTATCTCTCATTATTAAAATTTATGAAATAATGCTAAATGTAAGTTCGAAAGAATTTAATAATTGAATAAAGGAGAAAAAAATAAAAATGCTTATACAGGTCGAAAATGAATCTCCGGAAATACAAGTCAGAAGGTATACTTATAATATATCATTGGAAAGCGGAGAATTTTAGAAAAAACAATATCTAATGTAGAAAGTTGTAGAAGGTAACGGAGAGCGGCAAAAAAATTATAAATAATAATTTTTGAAAACTGATAATATTTAACGTAAATCACATGTTTTCAAGGAAATTAAATGAAATTTACTAACTAAATGTAAACTTTAAAAAATATTTTTAAGTTTTTAGAAAGTATTTAAAATCCACCTAATCAAGGCAATGACATTGTTAAAAAAACTATTTCATTGTACTTGTGTGAAAGACGAAGTAAAATACAAAATCATTTCATGGATGTATAAAGCATATGTTGATAAACTAAAATACATTATCTGTAGTTTAGTGATTATAGACCTGATATTATATTTAAATTATTAGGTATCAACGTTTATTCTGTAAAATTGTCATATAACTTTTTAGAAAATTAAATTAGTGAATAATTTGATGAATCTTCCCTTAGTGATTTTCCAACAGTATCCACTACTATTTTATTGTACTTGTATGAAAGAAGAAGTGAAGTATAAAAATATTTCATAGATACATTTATAACCTTAAATATATTTACTGTAGTTTAATAACTCTAGATCTGATATTATATTTAAATATTTAGGTATCTATCGTCGTTTAGTCCGAAAAATCATCATGTAACCTTTTAGAAAATTAAATTAGTGAATAATTTAGTCTTTCAAGCAGACGGTTGATGGGGGGGGGGAGGATTATTTTTTCTTCAATTTATGTTGTTTGAAAATCTAAAACCACAAATTTTGAGGAGGGGTTAAAACTTTTTTTTCTTGATAGATTTCAAAGGATGGTTGATAATGGTAAGTTGCCTTAAACTTGATAATCCAGCCTCAGAATGTCGAGATTTATTTTGTGCTAGATCCATGGATTGAATCTTGACCTTTGCGCTGTGGAGTGGTGAGGTACTCGAACTCATGATTGTTCCCCCTCCTTTCAACTATGTACTTAATTCTTATGTCATTCCTCTTCGAAGATATATGAACTCAGTATCGCTCCTGTTCTCCTCCCATCTTCCTATTTGATTCCCTGAGGCGAGATGAACTCAAACTCATCTGTTCTTCTCCTATCAACTTCATAGTAAATTCTGTGTGATACCCCAATGAAAAAAGATGTCCTCGATCTCGAAGCTGTTCTCTATCGACATGGCTTCTCTATGTGATTCCCCAATGAGTAACTCCAGACATGAGAACAAAAAATTTATCACTTATTTAAATAAAACAGTAATTTTCAAAAAAAAAAAAAGAAAAAGAAAAAGAAAACTTATTTAATGTCCTAGTAGAATATACCTACTTTTCATAAAATCACTTCTATTTATTTACAGCTAGCGACAACATTGATTATACAATTGTCAAGCAAGAGGAAGAACTAGATTTAGAAGAGTCTCCAGTGGATCATGGTATGTTCTTGTAGTAATTTTTATATTTATATAAAAATAATTAAATTAAAATTTTTTCTTTTGATTTGTAATTAATGAAATTTCTAATATTTTAGGTTTACAATCGAAGCAAGGATATGTAGAACTAGTTACTAAACCTCCTATTGTTAATAGAGTGATATCTCTTGTCGAAGATATATGTAAGTTGTATTTTAAGTAATGAATTATCAATCCGCAACTCCATCGTTATGATATTCGAGGTTCATCTGGAAAGTACATATACAATTTTAAAAATGCTCTTAGTGAGGTATTTAATATTTTCCCATTTTAAATAATAAAATTATCCATTAGACACGATATACTTATCTGTTTTCGTTTTCACTGCTGGAAGGCTCCATGGAAGATTACTGCAATGTTCTTCAGCTACCTCATCGTTTTGATGGCTTCCATGTCGCCCAAGTCCATTAAGATACTTTGGGAAACAGGAATATCACATGGTGCCAAATCATGTGAGTAAGAGAGGTGTTCCTTTGGGGCAATGGAATTTTTAACCCACACAGAACTAACGGTTTATGTGTCAGGGTTATTTAAATAGAAGATTTATCATTCCTGTTAAGCCCAATTCAGTCAAAACCGAAACACATGAGTTTGAAGCATCTGAGAATGTCAGATTAGAAATTTTAATTGGCAGTTAGGCCTGCATGGACAAATTCTTGGGGGACAATGTCTGGAGAATAATAAAAAAAAAAAAAATCAAAATTAACTATCAGCAATTCCTTGATTTTATTTTTATTTTAGAACATTTCAAAAATAAGTAAATTTGAATAAGCATGTGATGGACTCAAGTGAATGGTCACCACATCTATTATATCTTGATAGTCTTTTGAAGAGGACTGACTATACTTAATTGTCTGATTAAATGTAAACAATTTTTTTTCCATTTTTATATGAACTTTCTTGACAGGCCTCAAACATATATATTTAAAATGGATTGTACATCGTTACATCAAACATGCCATTTTTGCATACTTCCATTTTTTTAATTTTTAGCACCTCCAAATAAAGAACTGAAGGACTCTGTTGATAACACTGCTCAAATCACTAATACTGGTATAGTATTTCTTATTTAATATATCCATTAGTTAATATTTATAATTTGACTTGAGAATGCTATCCTTTCGCTTATCTTTTTCTTGGTCACTGAATGGATTATTTTATTGATCTAATAGGTTGTGGCTAACCAATTCAATTCATTCACTCAATTCTAAGCTAATAAAATTAATCTAAGAAAATTAAAAGATTTTCCACCTTTTGGATGATTATAATCATCAGGTCACCTATTACTCCATTACTTACTTCTTCGAGACCAATTTAACTTAGTCTTTCCCTCATACTAACTCAGGTTCAACTACCGTGACAAATCAATCTAAATCCATGGTTTATGGCTGTTCTGGTTTAGCAGACTCATGAAGAACTTTATATCTTAACTTGAAACAGACCATCCATGGACCAAACCTCCGAATCACTGACATCATTCTAAGCCGTATCATGATTCCCTATTAAAGTAAATACTGTATGGCCATGATGCCTGTGCTGGTCAGTTAGGGTTTTCTCCAGTAGCCTGATGGACCTTAGATACCTAGAAGAGGGGAATGAATATCGGGACATGTTTTTTCCTAAGGCGGTCATCCATTTTAATATTTACCTCACTCAAGTGCTTCAGTTCACTCGACCACCCAGGTCCCCTTAATTGTTCAAAATAACTAATAAGAAATCTTGCACCCAAAGTGAATTGAAGGGTGATATTAGGTTGTCCGGAAAATAATGCAGGATTTTGGTTTAAAAAGAAAAAAGAAAGATTTACAACTGTTTTATTTAATCAAAATAGTCTCCACTACTATCAACACATTTCTGCCAATGTGTTCCATTCCCTCGCAATAGAATTTCCCATCTTTAGAATTGATTTTTGTCACATTAGTGGTCCAGGTGTCTACAAAAATTATAATCGGTAGGGGAGAAGTCCGGAGAGCAGGACGAATGTGGCAGAGTTTCATATCCAAGCTCCAATAGTTTTGTTAAGTCACACGTAAAACATGTGATCCCTTTCAATTGACCAAAGAAGGCTTCTTTATTTCTAATTTCTGATGCATTGCATTAATTTGTTTACGATTAGCCATTGATGGTTTCTCCAGAATTTAAGAAGTTGTAGTTTATCAAACAAAATGAAGCCCACCAAACAGTAACCGTCACATTTTTTTGATGAGTTGCGGGCTTTGGAAAATGTTCTGCTGCTTCTCTTTTGTCAAGCCACTATCCAGAACGTCTACTATTATTGTGAATCCACTTTTCATCATAAGTAGCAATCCTGGACGTTTTTATTTCGGCAAAGAAATGTAGCACAAACTTCATAGCGCTGGTTTTTTTTGGCAGTCATTTAAAGTAAGGGGACCCCAACTTTCAAGCTTTTTTACCTTTCCAAACGCCTTGAGGTGGCCATCGACAGTCGATTTGCTAAGGTTAAGTTTTCCTGCAAGGTTGTTGTGGGATTTTCTTACACCGAAGCCCGCTGAATATTGTCATCAAGAAAGGAAGTCCTTCCTTGACCTTCTTTGTCTTCAAGGCTGAAGTGTCTCCCTCCCAAAAGTTTTGGAACCACCGTTAAACAGTGCACTCATTAATGCTGCTCTCGCCCCAGCCTTGATTGATGTTTCTGGCTGTCTGGGCTATGAGTTTAAACTCATAAAACAAAATCATACAAAAATCACGCGTTAAGATCTCAGTAAAGACTGAATTATTTCTAAGAAGCGAAATCCAGTAAACGTAAACAGTTAGTTATATAGAGGGGTATTTTAAAGAAAATCAAATTCCTGCATTATTTTCTGGACAACCCAATAGTTCACATAGCTGTGAATATTGATCTCCCAATTGCTTTAAGGCCAGGCCAGTACCTCGTTTAGCCCCAATGGATCTATTTTGTTCTGGAGCTGCTGAAGCCCATTAGTTGACCTAAGGTAAGGTATGCTTTTGTGATGATTAATAATGGAGTAGAGTGGTTTGAATAATTATTTTAATTACCATAAGTAAAAAGGGAATCTATTAGAATTTAATACAATATCAACAAAAGTGTCTTGTGTATCAGGAGTATTTTGAAAAGAAAAATAATGAATTTTTTTTTTCACTTTTTAACTTTCTATAAGTTATATGACTTTAATGGATTGTATATTATAATATACTCCAAAAATGCAATTTCATAATATATATTTTCTTTTATTTTAGATCCTCCAAATGAAGAAGTGAATGAGAAGGACGCAGTTGATGAAAGTACTGAAAGCACCAATACTGGTATAGTATTCTTAAATATGCAAGAGTAGTTAATATTTATTGGTTTGAGAAGACTGTGCTTAATAGAAACAAACAAAATTACAAATAAGACTTTTGTTTATTAACCAAAAAAAAAAGGTGAAAGTTAGTTAAAATTTACTGAAAATTACATGAAATCTAAGTAAATTCAGTAATTTTCATGCCAGTAACATTTGGAATCGACCAAATAATACATTATAAATTAACTTTTGGAATAAAACCTAAAATGTTATAACCTCATAAAAATATTGTGTTAATCTATTAAACTTATTCCATGTGATCAATGCCTTCCACATTTCAAAGTCATATTGTTAACAGTTACTTATATTAATTTTAATTATTTAATGGAATTAAATGAAATTGTTACTAGACAATTTCTGAACTATTTTTTTCATTTCCTCCAATTTTGGGTCAAATTGAACAAGCCGTTTTCAAACTATAGGCGTGTCAAATAATACGTTTACTGATTCAAAAGCGAAATATTTTTTTTGAAAGTAGTGATAGAAGTTGATAATATTGATACTCCATTAATTATCTGTTAACTAATAATCTCACTTGACTAATCCCTTATCTATCCTCCAAATTTGAGCCAAATCGTTCTTGCGGTTTTAGAGATATAGACATATCAAGGAAAACGTGTTGGCACATATATAAGAGAAAGTAGATGAAAAAATTCATTAAAATCGATATAGAATCATTATTTTACCATAACTTATCTTTCTTTCAACTTTGAGCCAAACCGAATGTTCTTGAAATATTGGCATATCTATGAAAATACAATTACGCATGTGCAAGGAAAAGTGGTGGATGGAATTTGATAAAATTGATATGGGACCATCGAGGCACCAACCCACACAATTCCTGAAAATCGGATGAAAGGTAGTAGGTGATATGCCTGTCACACCGATTTGACTACAGATAGACGCCAAATGAGGGGGCGGGGTAGCCGAATGGGCTAAAGCGTGTGCACAGCACCGCGAGTTGCCTGGCAACTGGATAAACAGATTTGAGAAGATTAAAAAAGTATGAGTTCGCATCCTGGTGCCGGAGGAGATTTGAAATTCCCCGCCCTCACCCTCCGACCCGGGAAAGTTCCACATAGCCTAAAAGGCGAGGTAGGGAAGAAAAAAAAAAAAGTTAGACGCCAAACTAAATTTGATCCTTGATGTCTGAAATATAAAACAAAATTGTTTTTAACAATATGAATACAATGCTTCTCTACCTTTGGTAGTGAGGAAGCAAAAAAAGTAGGTACCGACCTGCCGAATGAAATTTTCAGGGAATTTGAGGTTTGGTACTTTGATGGTTCAATATCGATTTTGTCAAGTTTTATTCTCTTCTTTCTTTTTGTGGTTTTCCTTGACAAGATTATGCCTCAAAAAGAGGTTATTTCTTAGATTTTATTCTCAGACCAGGCATAATGGATTTTAATATACAGGTAATAATGCTACCTATTATACATGGCATTGAAGCTGTACTGACTACTTAGCAGACTTTTATTTTACCATGTAGGTATAGTTTTACAGTCACTGACCTCAGAAAATTAAATGCAATTTCCTAAGAATGTACTTCAATGTTTCATTAAAAAATTAGTAAGTTGAAGGTATCAAATCGTTGGGATTTGATTAAAGTCTAAGAAATTGCATGAGATTGTTATCTATGAAACTTAAGTCATGTTTACGCTTATCCTAATTTTGGTGAATGTAGACTTCAGGCTTCTCTTACTTACAATAAATAAATCACTACGTTTCTGATATTTAATATTTAAATTTAGAAATTTATTACTCATGTTAATATTTCTTTGTTTAGGATCTACTCGGAAAAAAGCGAAAATTCATCAGTGTCCTCAGTGTCATTACAAAACTGTAAGATCTGATCATGTAAAACGGCATCTGAGGGCTGTCCATCTTAAAGATAAACCACACAAATGCTCAAAATGTCGCTATCAAACTTCAGAGGCTAATTCACTAAAAAGGCATATGATTTCAAAACATTCACTCGAGAATAAAAATGTGATTAAAAAATGTGAGACTAAAACTGTAAGTAAGCAGGATATAAGTAGACCAATAGAAAGGGAGCACCAGAAGAACAATATGCATTATTGTTCAGAATGTGGATACAAGACTGAAAGGTTTGAGGATCTGGAAAAACATACGGCGGTTCATCATACCAAAGCGAAAGCTGATGTGCACAAATGCCTTGATTGTTCTTATATTGCTCAAACTGAACAGGAGTTAAAAAATCACATTACAGTTCTCCATAAACTCCAGCAATGTTCACTCTGCGAATACCATACCACCAATCTTCGTGAGATGAATAAGCACATCAGGTCTGTCCATGCTAAAGATAAACCTTATAAATGTTCACAATGTAGCTATCGAGCTGCGGAGCCGAGTAAGTTGAAAAGACATATAATGGCAAAGCATCCTCTTGAGAAGCCGTACCATTGTCCGGACTGCGATTATAAAACAGCAAGTGAGCGTGATATAAAAAGACATAGTGAGACACAGCATCCTCATCTGTGTGGACAATGTGATTTCAAAACACCAAATTATCAGGATTTAGAAAAACATATTGCCACGTTTCACGCAGAATCCGAAGTGGAATCTGATTGTTCAGAAGATAGTGAGCATGGAGCTGGTAGTGTTCATCAAATGGAGAAGCGTTCTTCAACTGCCAACCAACCAAAAGCCAAATCACATGAGTGTTCACAGTGTGATTATAAAACATTGATTCTTGAAGAATTAAATCGCCACATCAAGAGTAATCATATGAAAGAAAAGTCTTTTCGTTGTTCATTTTGCGAGTTTTCAGCTGTTGAAGCAATTAGTTTGAAGATGCATATGATAGCCAAACATCCGAAGGAGAAATCTAGCAACTGCCCCGATTGTCATTTTAAGACAGAAAATAAACGAACATTGGAAAGACATATTAAAAGTGCTCATTCTAAAATAAAAGAATGTTTCGATTCTGAGAGTAGTATTGAACAACTACAGGAGTCGAAAAAACTTTCAGTGAGCAGTACGAGCATAACTGACCCTGAGTTAAGTAGGCTTATTGGTGATCAATATCTTCATGAATGTTCCGTCTGCGATTTTAAAACTACCAACTCTATTCACTTAAATAGGCATATCAAGGCAATCCATGCTAAAGAGAAGCCTTACCAATGTTCTCAATGTGGATTCAGTGCGGCGGAAGCAATAATCTTAAAAAGGCATGTGATGTCTAAGCATCCAAAACAGAAAACCTATCAATGTCCTGATTGTAGTTATGAAACTACCAGCGTGCATGAAATGAATAAGCATACAACTACAATCCATCCCAGTGATCTTGAGATTAACTTGGCATTTTCAAATAGTGATCAGCTGCAAGAAAAACCTCATCAGTGTTCAAAATGTGATTACAGAGCATCATCTTATAACGAGATAGAAAATCATACAAAAATCCATCACTCGTGTGATAAAACTTTAAATATTGTTGATGCGGAACAATGTATTAGTAATAAACATAAGAAAGTGAAAATTAACCAATGTACTCATTGTGAGTATAAAACTGCTCATAATTATCATTTATTAAGACACATTAGGATGGTTCACCAAAAAGGAAAAGCATTGAAATGTCTGGAGTGTGAATTCACTGCTGCGGATGCAGTTAATTTAAAGAAGCATATGTTAGCAAAACATTTTCCAGAGAAACCGTTTCGTTGCTCAGACTGTGATTTTAATACTACTAGTGAGCGCAGTATGAAGATTCACACGGAGAACCAACACCCAGCTGACGACAAACCTTCACGATATAAAAAATGTAAGTACAAATCATCTAGTCACTCGGACTTGAAAGAACGTCTGATTGCTTTTCATAGTGATAAGAAGGTACATCATTGTGAAGATTGTGAATTTGTAACAGATAGTGCTCGTGAATTCGAAAAGCACACCAAAAATTTACACTTCAAAGAAAAGCTCAACTGTTCTCAGTGTGAATATAGTTCAGCAAATCGCAATGATTTAGACAAACATGTTCTTTCTCTTCATAAAAACTGTCTAAAAGTAAAAATTACGAAAAAGAAAATTTACAATATTAAAAAACCTGTTTCTAAATTAAGATCTTCATCAGACATACAAAAAGAAGGTTTAGCTATAAATGTTAAAGGAAAAAAAACTTTGAATGGGCTGAAGTCAAAAGCGAAGAGCTACAAGTGTGGCCATTGTGATTACTGTAGTGAATATAGCCGTAATTTGAGAAGGCATGTGATGGGAGTTCATAAGAAAGAAAAACCTTTTAATTGTCCTATGTGCAGTTTCAGTTCTCTTGATCTTCCTCAGTTGAAGAATCATGTACTGGTTAAACATTTATGAAGAAATCTCTTAAAAATCTCTGTTAAAACTTGAAAGAGGTAGTATTTAGCTAAGGAAATAGCTAACGCTAATATAATAGCTGTTAATTGATTTTCAAATCAATACAGTCTATGCAGATTGTTTTTAAATCTGCATCAAAAAGTCTGACAGCTTTTTGTGAAACTTGTAATGTGCCATGTACTACGGCTTTAGATGGCCATTATATTATAATTTGAATTCGTGAGAATGTTACTCTTTGTTAACGAATGCCAGAGTTATACATACAGTATTGGTGTAGACTGTAGAAGTCAGGATCCTTGTATCTATTACCATCACCGATGAGTAAGTGTTGAAGATGGTATTTTAATCGTCTAGTTTGATGGAGAGTAGGAAGCAAGGCTTTTGATAAAATTGACATGTGAAGACACAAAAGTGGGCCAAAATGTAAACCTCAAAGTGGTGGCAAAGAAAGAAAAGACATGCCATTTTCCTTTTATTCTTGTTGGACAAAAGAAGTATGGATAGTGTTGCAAGGTTTCGCATATTACCTACCTGTCTCGAGCTATTGCTGTGACTGTTTTTGTTGCTTTCCCACGTCATTGGAAAATAATTTTAACAAATATTTTAAAAAATAACCAAATTGATCCAATATTTCTGTCACAGCTGCTTTCTAAACATTACCAGAGAATTATTTGTCTTATTTTTTATTTTTATTTTTAAATTTTACGTTGGGAATTTTGAAATCTATATATTCTCAACCTCAATTTGCTCAGAAGTACTGGAAATATTGTTGTTCTGTATTTTATTTTGTTATGTTTAAATAAAAGTTATTTAAATTTCCTGTTAGACTTATTCATTAGTTTGTGAAAAGTGTGATTTAGGTCTGAATAAATGAATAGTAGAAAAATTGTATTAAATTAACGAAGTATCCTAAACTTTAATATAATAATTATTTTTATTGACAAAATTATCTAGAATGTTTACTCTAAATCATGATTTTTAAATGTGATTGAAAACGTGTTAGTTGACAGTTATGTTTATTTTTAAGAAAAATGAAATATTGTTTATTTAAAATGTAGTAGAATTTGGAGATATTTTCTCTTGGAGGTGTTTGTATTAATCATTTGAAGAAATTCACGTGATTATATTATTAATTCAGAAGAAATAAAAAATGTACAAGGCTTAGTATCTTAAAATTGTAAGGAACGGGTTATTGATCTGAATTCTTTTGTAAGAGAAGTCCTGATGAAGGCCTAAACGTGCAGAAACGTCACCATGAAAATAAATTTCTAAATCACTATCTTAGAATTACTTTGAGGATCTCCATAAAGACTTCTTTACCTAATATACATTAAATCTCAAAACATTTTTTTGCATTGCTGCCCGACCCTCATAGTATATGAAAAAATATGAAAAATAATCCCCTTGAATGAAAAAACTCAAGATTTGTGCCAAATTGAAGGCAAGAGGAAGAAATAATTATGACTGAAACACATTTTGTGTCGATAGTATGAATAAAAATATATTTTAATTTCCAACTAAGTTATTTTATTCCTTATTTAATTCTTGATTGTAGTCAAATGGAAAGTAACGAAGTGTCAAGTGGAAAGCTCTTGTATTGGGTTGGAAAATAACTCCTTTTTGTTTTTCAGAACGAAATAAAATTGGTGTATTATAGACATACAATTTATTTTAATTTACTATGTATTCACTGTTTAGAATGTCTGGTGTTAATTGTAAAAAAACTGATCTCTGTGCTTTTTAATGTCTCATCCGTTTCGGAATTACTTTCGTTCATGGATTTCTTCCGAGATCGGATAAGTGATAATCCCTTGGAGTTGGACCTGGTGAATAACTGTAGGTGGGTCAAAAGTTCCCAGGAAATGCGCGTTGCCGAGTTTGTTTTGGTTTGAAAATGGGTGACCTAAACATCCAGCGCAGAAACGTATTCTAGTCTCTGCAAAAGGTTTTCTACTTTATGTGCGACTTCTAAGAGTCTCTGAGACCTCATGCACTGTATTGGGTGAAATAAACTTTTGTGTTCTAATCGTATTTCATCATATTTGTTTATATCTACCTACATTCCTTAGTCTTAAATTTTATTATTGATACTTAGCCCTTGTGATATTGGGTTTTCTCTTAGGTGAGCTATTAACTCTTTGACGACGGTCGACTCAGATATGAGTCGAGAGCCTACAAGACTTTCTCGCCAAACGACGGGGTGCTTAGCAATCAATTCTACTTTTTAACTATTTTGCACCCTTTCCAGGAGGCAGTATGTAATATTTCTATAACTGAAGAAAATGGGCATTTTTGAATGATGCCTTAAATAAAAACGCATAAGTGGTCAGTTTAGATGATGAAAATTATTCCATCCTCAAGGACACTCCACACTTTCCGCTTATCGTCGCTAAAAGTTTGAAGCTAGTCTTCCAACTAGTTAATAACTTCATTAGACAGAACATCCTGTGATACTCTGACTTATTGGCCAAATTGTGTCCATAATTAATGACTTAATAATTTAGTATGTCCCGAATATTAAGAGCGAAAAAGGTCTAAATTATTTAGGTGAAGTCATTAAGGAAGAAGCTATGACATTTTTTTTACTATACACTCGCTGTGAGGTACATAAAGGAACGCATAAAGCAGAGGTAATAGGTGATTCCAAGAAGAAATAGAAGATGGAAAAAAACAATCATTGCTGAACTACTTAGGAAAAACATGTTTAGCTTGGGAGTTGTTTTAAGATGAAAATATATATATTTTTTTATACTTAAAATAGTACTTATATTTGAGATCTATCTATAGATATGTACAGAAGGATTTTTTCATCTAATAATATGAATATCTGTCGTAGTATGGTTTCCTGTAGTACCCATCATAACCACGGTCGTAGTAGCCTCTGTATCTGCCCAGTCCGGAGTAGCCACCTGTAAATTACAAAAGAAAAATTTAATTTCATTGTTTTCCATTAAATTTAATGGTCACAAGATCTATGCCTTACCATAGGAGTATGGGGAAAGAGAATCGTAGTAGGGATAGTCTGCACCATATGAGCCGTATCCTAAAGAACCATAGTATCCATAACCCCGACCATAGGATCCGTAGTAGCCTGGTGAGCCGTAGTATCTCGAACTGTAGGAGTATGATGTGGGGTAATCGTAACCGTAGTCCAGGTAGGATGGTATCGAAGCGGCCGCTGAAACTAAGGCGGCTAATACCTGAAATGTTAATGCACGTAAGAGAGTTATGTTTATTTATATTATCAACAAGTAATCATACAGTTGTTATGGATAACAACTAGAAATATAACAGCGTTATAGGAGTAGCTCTTGATGAATTTGAAAAAGCAGCAGATGAACTAGAGGAACAAAAGACCTAACAAGCTAGACCGGATTCGATGTTAATTGTGATGTGTAATCAAATCAGATAGCGCGTATGCCCAGAGACTCAATTCCGGAAGGCCTGCTGCAGGATCGATCGTGGTCTAAAAAGACCATGCTTAAGATTGCTAGACGAGCTAGAGGACATATTCAAAAGATGGGAATCCGAAGATGGCAAATGCTCGCCTGGGATAGAGAAAAGTGGAGGAAAATTATAAGAGAGGTCCAGATTCTTGCAGAACTGTTGCTACTAAAATAAATAAGTAATCTTCCACAAACGTGTGGGTAGTTAAGTGTTTAATGTGATGATTAAGGCGAAGGAAAAAAATAAAAAATAGAAATGGCACTGTTTTTTAATATGTGTAAAAATTCAACATAATTATGAAACGAGAAAATATACTAAAAAAATTATACATTTGTCTGGAAGTTGTATAACTTTTTATGTGCACGTGGACAGGGGTGCCCACCACTAGTCCAGGCTAGGAAGCGCGCACCCTCCTGAAAACTGGAAAAAAATCCAAAAAAAGTTACGAAAACACCTATTTAACTTAAAGAGAAATATATGAAAAATTCATTATCATAGGCGAATTTACAAATGTAATATAAAAAAAAAATATCGTGACCAGCACTGGCGAATTCTTCAAGGGGGCGCGCCCTCCCTTGGATGATAAAAATAAAACAACGAAAAAAGTTCCAAAAAACACCTATTTAAAGGAAAGAAAAATATAATGAAAATTTCATCCTCATATGCGAATTCCCTAATGTAATGGAAAAAATGTATATTATCGTGACCAGCACTAGCGAATTCTGTTTTTTTTTTTTTTTTTACATATCTCCGTATACAGAGCGTCCCGTAAGTAGAGGTAAATATTTAAAGGAGTGATTACTAAACTCAAGGAATACAAAAAAGTTTATGTAAACCAAAAGTTCGATTTTCACTATCTTAGAAGGGGGAGAGGTCATGCACTATCGATCTTGGGGGAGGGGATGGCCATCCCTGGATATATTTGAAAATATCGGAACAAAACAATTGAATTTATAACAATTTGTATCCATTAAACATGAAAGGAAGAGGGACAGCCTCCATAACATAGGTACATTTCTAGAACTTTTTTTTACAGCTAAAAATGAGTAATGTTAAAAACCCGAAAAATATTTTTTATTCCTTAGTTTGCATAATCTTAAAATAAAAATACAATGTTTTCACAGTCTAACTAGTTATGTAAAAATGTTTATAAAATATATTTATACTTTTATTTATTAAATATATTTTTCCAAATTCATCGTAGAAAATCAAGTGGAAATGGAGTTGTATACATGAGAGATGAATGAATCTTAAAATCCTAAGAAATGTAAGTAAGTAATGTAATAAGAATAATTTGGTCGTGATAAAATAGTTATGTACCTTCTTATAGGCTTTTGCTTAACTGGCTATTCGAATTTTTTTAATCGATTTTTGTTAACTTATATTATTCATTCATATTCCTTATTTGTTATAAGTTTTTATTTTATTTTTTTACTTAAATTATTGGGGGGAGGGGAGAGCGAAACGATATTCTCGCCCCCTCAATATTCTTATTGGGTAATAATCCGGTAGTCTGGGCCTGTGATGTATAGTATGTATGTTAGTGACCTGCCAATTAGTTGTAAAATTCTATTATTTGGCAATAAAAAATTATTTCCTTTCTCAATAAAACTAAACATTGTGTATAATATATGAAATAGGTAAACTTCTTTTAACACATTATTATCCCCCCTTGGATCCATACCTCGCCAGTTATAGAGAACTCGATGGATGGCTCTTGAAAAGATACGCTACTTCCTATCGAAGCACAAAGCCTATTTCTCGAAATAATGGAAAAACATAAAAAATGTAATGTCATTTATACTGATGTTTCAAAAGTAAACAACGAAAGAGGATGTGCTATTGTCAACTCTCAAATAGAAAAGTACTTCAAAGTTCCTCAGATCTGCTCTGTTTTTAGTGGAGAGATGATCGCTATTAGAGAAGCTTTGACTTATATTGATTCAACAGAGAGTAACAAATGGGTCGTGGTAACGGACTCAATGAGTGCAATCCTGGCCATCGAAAAGAGAACTCCGACAACCACACTGGCGAGATCTATTAAAAATGTCTGCTGGAAACTAACAGAAAAGGGAAAGGAAATAATATTCATGTGGGTTCCTTCACACTGCGGAATTGTCGGAAATGAACAGGCAGACAAAGCAGCGAATATGGCGAGAAGGCTAGATAGAAATCCAACAGCTATAATTAACGAAATTCCGATAGAAGATTTCATAAATCTTCATAAAAAAAAATTGCGGGTAATGTGGCAGAACGTTTGGCAACAAAGAGAAACCAAATTAAAAGAAATAAAAAACCACTGTTCCAAATGGAAAACTAGCAACCGACTCTCCAGATAAGAAGAGACTCCTCTGCCGCTTAAGAATTGGGCATTGTGAATTTTCACATGCCTACTTACTAAGAGGACTAGACCCACCGACCTGCGAGAGCTGTAAGGTGCAAAGAACTGTCCTACACATCATCCAAGACTGCCCAGTATTTAAGAATGTAAGGAAAAATCTCGATATGGCTCAGAGTCTAAAAGAAAACCTCAGTGACAACGCCGTGGAAAAAACCTTACAATTTTTAAAAATAATAAAGTTCTACAATACAGTATAAATAGGAAGTGTTGCCAATGACCCTGCAGGGTAGAGGCAACAATAAAAACAAACAAATAAATAAATATAATTACACGAACAATAATACTTTAAGGGATAGTTTTAATATTTTTTTCTATAAAACATAGTTATATTTTACCATTTTTAGGGGGAGGGAGGGCTTCAGCCCCATAGATCCGTCTGTGCTCTTCACTTAACAATCAAAATTAAAGTGATTGTTAAAAATATAATTACTGTAAAATTTTGCTGTAAACATATGATGATAGGATTTAAGTTTTTAAATTAATACGATTTATGTGCCGTGTTTCGCTTATTGTTTGGCTTATTCTATTCATTTTTAAATAAAATAATAATCTTATTGAGGACGATTTTCTCATGTATTTAATATATTCAATAATTATATAAAACATACCCTATTATAGAACAGTCAATTTAGCTAATTATACATACACACCTCCACCTGGCCGATGATAGATGTGATTGCATGTTAGTAATTGAAATGGGTGTGTGAAGTTGTATGACGTGTGAATCGTTAGAAGAATAATCAAGGCCGAAGGGAATGGAGAACGCCTGAGGTATTGAGGATGGTCTGGATTCAAGAAGGATCGTGTTAACATGTATATTAATTAACTATAGTTATAATAGTATATGTTAACATGTATATTTTGCATCAAGTTTGATAGGATTCGATATATCGAAAAAATGCATCTACATTTAGATATATCAGACCTTGATCTTTTTAATCTTTGAAAAGAACATGGATATAATTATTTAAATATTATCGATACCTACAGTTATAATATATATCGATAGTTATAATTAGAAACAAATAAAAAGGGTGGATAGAAGCTATATTGAATGGATCATAAGCGCAGACTTTCGATTTTGATTGGGAGGGATGGTGAGTGGGCGATGGACAAAAAAAAACAAAAAAACTGGAGTTCTTATTATGGGTAAGAATTCTACATAATTATTGTGAAACGAATATGTAAAATATTTAATATTAATTTGTTTGTAAATGGTGGCCATTGGTAACCCATGGCTACGCAACTCCCTCATTAGAGAAATATTAAACGTTTGGTGGGAGATGAGAAAAAGATCAGTGAGTGTGGTCTTTGTCAGGGTTCCATCGCATAGTGCATAATGGGCAATGAAAAAGCAGACCAATCTGCTACATCACCGTTGAAGATTGGATCCATAAAACAAAGAAAAGCTATTAAAAAATTGGGAAGGCCAATGGAAAACACAACGAGCCAAATTAACAGAAATACAAACCGAGTGCAACACATGGGCCATAAACTCCAAAAAATCAAGAAGGGAAGAAATAATATTGTGTCGAATCCGGATTGGACTCTGTCTTTTCACACACTCGGGTCTCGAAGCACCCACTTGCCAAAAGTGTGACAAGCACCTCAGTCAGTTAAACAGTTATTACTGGAGTGTCCCCAATATGAAAAAAAAAATACAAAAACTAAAGTTGTCCACGACATTAAGGTTATTTCGGATTTAATGGAAATGCAATATTTAATGGAAACGAATTATTACAACATAATATAAAATTTAAGAATTGCCGCCAATGACCCTCTAGGGTAGAGGTGAATACAAAAAAAAAAAAGTTGCAAGGATTTTAGTTTTTTGTTTTATTTATTATATATATTTGAAAATATGTTTAAAAAAAAAACTACAATTGATTATATAATGTATTTGTATGGACAAAACAGGGGGAGAGGAGACAACCTACATAGCATTGTTAAATTTCAGCTAAAAATGAATAATTTAAAAAAGTGAAAAATATCTTTGATTCCTTAGTGTGTACAAACTCAAATAAAAATACTACGTTTTTCACAGTCCGACTAGTTTGCCACGGAAAATGTGATGAGAATATCACGTGAAAATCGAGGAGTGATTGAATCATAAAATCCTAAGATATGTTGAGATATATTATTATCTTTGGTTATAAATGAGAATTTAAATAAAAGTAACATTTAGATATCAATAAAATAAGGCTTACTACTGGGCTCTAGCGTAGTCAGCTAGTCGACTTTTCTTAATCGATTTTAGTCTACACATTTTATACATTGATTTAGCTTATTTATTCTTGATTTTAATTTCTTTTTACCTCAAATTATTGGTGAGGGGGAGAAACGATCGTTCCTCCTCCTCCCCCTCCCGAAGTCTAGGCCTATGGAATATATTCCTTAAAACTTATAAAATTACTAAATCTGTATCATATTATGCCATGAATTACGAGATTTTCATAGCATACTATCGATATAAATTTATTATTTTAACTACTAATAAAAAAAATCTATTATAATTGGTTGATGATTGATTTTAGTGAATAATTAAAGAGAAGATTGTTTGAGGTGATCATTCAAAATAAAAAATATCAAAAATAAATAATAATTTTTATTTTTACTAATATTAACTAATAAAAATAAATATTACTTATTTTTGCTATTTTTTATTTTGACTGATCACTCCAACCATTCTTCTCTTCAAATTATATTATAGTATTAACAACAATAAGTATTTACATACGTATAAATTGAGAGGTCAAAATCGCAAACTGCAGTTTTTATGAACTTTCTAATGATATCCAATGTAGGGACTTTCAATTCTATTTACCACATCAAAACGGTTGTTTTAAATTAAAAATCTTTGGAATAGGAATTGTAGGGCATCCAATCTTTTGTTTATAGAGTGGTTTATATTTTGAAATATAATACTATACTAATAATCGGAATTTTAACCCGATTACAATACTTTTCTTAACTAGTAGTAAAAGGAGAAAAAAAAGAAATAATCAGACTAGATCTTTTTTTTAGATTTTTAATTTAGTACTACATAGTAATAGGTGCACTACAAAAAATGAATTTTCGTTTAATCCGACGTGAAAGTTATTGTTTTAATTATAAATTGGTTTTCAATTTTTTTATTATTTTTTTTAAAGGAATTTCCAGAAATCAATAAAACCCGAACTCAAATAGTCTTGATGTGCCCATTAAATATTACAGTTCAGAATAATTGTTATATGTATTAGCCTTTCAGTTGACAGAATGACTTATTCCAATTTCAACATTTAAGTGATATTTCTAGTTAGTAAATTTATAAGATCTATACAGACAGTGAGTAAGTTGATTCCTGGTTAGGTGATTGCTGTGTCGAAATATAGAACTATGAGTAAAGGTATAAATTAACCCAATAGAAATATTACTAAAATTAATAATAAAAAAATGTTGAAATTGGAGTTAGTCATTCTGTCAACTGAAAGGCTCATATTGCTTTCGGAAAAAAATCCCTTGGTCGATGACCTTTAAGTCAATATTAATTAAGTCGAGTTCATATTTTCTCTAACTGAGTAAAAATATTATTACCCCAATATTTTTTCATCTTTTTACTCAATTATGGATGAATCTCAACTTACTTTGTAACAATCCACACAACTTAATTAATATAGAATTAAAACTCACCAAACAAGGAAGTTTTTCTGTAAGTGTGGTATGTTCAGTCCAGTTTGGGGCTCACAAAATATATCGCAAAGAATCCTTGATTTTTTTAAAACCCAAACTTATCATAGTTTAACTGCTTAAAAGTTCGCTTCAAATGGTTTTAAAAAAGACACTATTTACTTGAATTTAAGCTAAATTTAATCTTATTTACTACGAAGTAATTAGTTGTAACCTAAATTAAATATTCACAATATTTCTCCAATTCTTCTTCGGTGCATACTATTTATTTTCAAGTTTATTTATTATCAGCCATTTTCAAAATTTTGTCAACTTAATGACTACATATCTGACTACGACGTTTCGGCTCGTCGAGCCATTTTCAAGTCATTTATTATATTTACAACTGTAAATTTCCAATTTTTCCACACTTCGTCCTTCGGCATGTTTTCTGGGTCGTTATTAGGCCTCCCAGTCAATAATATTCACAATATTTCTCCAATTATATTATTGCCTGGGAGGCCTAATAACGACCCATAAAACATGCCGAAGGACGAAGTGTGGAGAAATTGGAAATTTACAGTTGTAAATATAGTAAATGACTTGAAAATGGCTCGACAAGCCGAAACGTCGTAAACAGATGTGTAGTCATTAAGTTGACAACATTTTGAAAATTGGTTTAAAATGGCTGATAGTAAATAAACTTGAAACTAAATTAAATATTTTTTTAGTTATTGTTTTTATTCAATATAAAACGTGATTGGCTTTAAAATTACAAAATATATATAATTCTGTTGTCACTGGACTTTTAAGAATCATTAAAAGATAGCAACTATGAATAATAATTTGAACGATCGAAAACGATTAACAAAAAAACTAATTAAACTTCAAAAATGTATCGCCTATTATGGATAACATCAATTTCGTGTTTTGGAGAAATTTTTGATGAATGTGTCAATGCAATAAATATACTCGTAACAATTGATTTTATCAAAAAAATGTAAAGGATAATTTTTATAGAAATTTTAAAGTACTTTAATATTTTACTGAATAATCTTTGCGGAAAACCTCATAGTTCTTGAGATATTCTAAAAAAAAATACCAAATTTTTGTCCTCCCTCTCTCCTTTTATCAAAACCCGACCAGAGAAATTCTTTGGGACTATTATTATGGGGCAATGAACAATTTATGACAAGTTTCATCTTTATTTTTTGAGTGTTGGGTTCAATCTCTTAATTTTACTAGACTAAAATAACCTACTCGAGCATTACACTTGTTTTTACGAATAGATAGTTATTAATGCTAAATAAATAAATAATAAATAAATAAATAAAAAAAGAATAAAAGAAACCAAAAATCTGAAAATAACCAATTTGTTGAATTCACTGATGTTTAGTAATTATTAATTTATTTTATATTCTTTAAGTTTTTAAACAGCTTTTTATATATTTTATTTTTAAGTTGTTAAAAATATGCAAACAGCTGATTTTTATCCGTTACTTACAAGTACGCTGATACGAGACATGATCCTATGTTTGACCGTCCACTGCCTGCTAGAGCTGCTATACTTATTCGTGTGTGCGTGTGGTGGTGTGGTATATAAGCTTGAGGTCTATGGTAGACTGGTCGACTAGGCCAAGGGAATCATTGTTTAGGACTCACCTTCCCACTCCCATTATTTTCTTCTCCTTTAATGCTTCCTTTATCACAGGATTATTTCCCCGTTCGTATTGAACGCTCCATTCATTTGACTAATTGTCCTTAATCATTCTTGGTGTAGCGGAACGATTTTTTCGCTCTTAAGATACTTAACAACTCCGCATTCTTGTTCTACAAGCATCAACGATACAAGACGTTGCGAGGAACCAGCTGTGGATCAAGGATTTAATTTCGGAGAGCTAATTTTTTTTTTAAAGGAAGGAGATGGTCCGGGGTTGTGGTCATAAATAGGCTAAATAGTGGTAAAACTATTTTATTGAAAGCCAACGTTTCGATCCGACTTTGCAGGTCTTCTTGATCAGGGCTAAAACGGACAAGATACAAAAAGATAGAGAATTGTGGCAATTACATAATATTTAGACATAATTTATAAACAATGTGAATAAGCTTATTAAAATTCTAAACAGTAAGTACAATAAAATATGGACCAAGTAAGCTGAGTAACAAGATCCTAAACTGAAGTAAATATATAAATATATACTAAATGAAAATGTGAATATACTTTTACAAAATCTACAGGAGACTACACATTTTCATTTATTATATATTACACTACAACAATTGTTAGGATCTATTTACTTCAGTTTAGGATCTTGTTACTCAGCTTACTTGGTCCATATTTTATTGTGCTTAATGTTTATAATTTTAATAAGCTTATTCACATTGTTTATAAATTATGTGTAAATATTATGTAATTGCCACAATTCTCTATCTTTTTGTGTCTTGTCCGTCCCTGATGAAGACCTGCAAAGTCGGGTCGAAACGTTGGCTTTCAATAAAATAGTTTTACCACTATTTAGCCTATTTATGACCGCAATCCCGGACCATCTCCTTCCTTTATAATGTAACGGTCAACTATTAAATATTCAAGAATTTTTTTTTTTGGTAGAATGGTTTTAAATAAAAAACGCTGCAAATTATTTCATAATGGTTTATTATTTCCAAACAACTATACATCTAAAGTAACATTACCTTCCTAGTTACAAAGAAAAATAAATAAAAGGTGGTTCCAATTATTGTGTTAAACTTTTTTTTTTAATCATTAGTAATATTCTAAAAAAAAATAGCATTACTCTAGTAACACATTCAAAATTTAAAAGCCAAACAAAGCATTCAACATTCGGAGTAAATCATATAAAAAAAACTGGAGACCATATCTTTGCTCCTAATTGTCCGATTTTAACGATTTTTTTTGGAAATTTCGTAAACTTTAAAAAAACTATATACAATATCCACAAAAAAGTGTATACTTTTTGAGTTATTCTGCATTAAATTTTACCATCCCTCGTAACTTTTTTCCATCTTCTTTTCGTTGAAGTATGATATATAGATAAATTTAAAGGGCGTCGACAATGGTTTATTATTTCCAAACAACTATACATCTAAAGTAACAATACCATCCTAGTTACAAAGAAAAATAGATAAAAGGTGATTCCAATTATTGGACTAAACTTTTTTTTTCATCATTAGTAATATGCTAAAAAAAATAGCATTACTTCAGTAACACATTCAAAATTTAAAAGCCAAACAAAGCATATAACATTAGGAGTAGAACATATAAAAAAAAAACTGGAGACCATATCTTTGCTCCTAATTGTCCGATTTTTTTAGAAAATTCCGTAAACTTTTAAAAAACCATTTACAATATCTACAAAAAAGTGTACACTTTTTGAGTTATTCGGAATTAAATTTTACCATCCCTCGTAATTTTTTTTCCAGCCTCTTTTCGTTGAAGTATGTTATAAAGATAGATTTAAAGGGCGCCAAGAAAATGACTTTAGCAAAGTTTCATTGAAATCGGTACATTCGTTTAGGAGTTTCAGTCTATAGCAACGCAGGTTTTTCGGCCGCCATTGAAAGTAAAAGGCAGATAGTAATGTCGATGAAGGAAGATGATCCTCGGGTGACCTCTGATTTTATATCCGAACAATAAAAAATAAAATCTTATTTCTTCTTTTGTTAATTATAAAATTCTTTCAAAGTTTATATTTAAGCATTTTTTTCATTCAAAATTATAATATGAAGTGGTTAATCATTTCAAATAAATAAAATCAGAATTACTTTAGAGGAAGAAATTTTGAAAATTCGTTATTCAAGGCCTATCAGGCAGCGTCAATTGGAATAATACTTACCTTAAATTAAAAATAACTTAATAATACACTGACTAATGAGTTTAATCAAAATCTTAAGCGCAGTTTTCTAGAAAATTGTAAAAATTATGACATAATGTTACACTTTCGGTTTAATTTTGACGAAAAATTTGCTGTAATATCTCGGTCAAAAACAAAGCTCAAATAAGAAATTTCAGTTTCGTACGACTTTTCGTTTTTGAGCTAGACTCTTCACATATTCTTATATACGTAGACTCTTCACCGCCTCCCTCTGGAATTCTATCCTTGGATGATATTCGACTCGCACAATCAGTTTCCTTTTTCAAACCTCTCCTCTTTCTCTTCTACTCCTTTCTCAATCCGCCTGATTACGAAATATACCTAAGTAACCCCAGAGAATATTTCTATTAGTTTAGTTTTCTCCGATTGTATTATGTACGCTTATTATGTATGTATTTGTGTTTTCATGTCTTTTTCTCTCCTTCCGTCTGTATTTATACTTTTAAATAACCAATATTGTAAATATCTACTCTATTTATGACCACTTACACACGTATTTAGCACTTATCACTTGTTCTAAAGGGACAACAAAATAATAAAATATATTTTCATTTCATTTCACATATACGCACTCACACACACAAACCATTTTCCTATCATCAAGTTATTTAGGCTATAACTCTTCTCAGATGTGTACAACTCCTGTCTCCTGTCTCAGAGAAGGTAGGCTTTCCAACAAAGTGGAGAAAGCAATGTCTTGTGCTCCTGCCAAAGAGTAAGGGTAGTGTTGCCCTAAATCAGTCTTGGTCTTGCACTTTGCAAGACCAAGACCAAGGTCCCCTAACTATTGCAAGACCGAGACCAGGACTGCTAAAAAAAATCGATTTTTTCAATAAAATTGAAGGCAAAATACTAATAATTGACAATTTTAGTTACTATATTTAAATAATTGGTAGAAGCAATATAATTTTGCATTTAACTCCTTTAATTTTTCATTCGAGCTTAGGTTTCTCCTATCTAAAAAAATACAATAATATCTTTATAGTAATAAGGTGATAAGTAACTGCAAGACCATTGCGAGACTCTTGCGCAACCCCAAGATCATGACCAAGACTGAGTTTGCAAGACCAATACTCGTTTCGGTCTCGCATTTGGGCAACACTAGGAAAGGGGTACCCGGAAGACCTCGCATCTTGTCATCTAATATGTTTGCTGAACACTACCGCCATGTTACTGCTGAGCATTGTTTATGGCAGGTTGAACTACTTCAGTAAAGGAGTCCGAGGATTGTCTGATAATCCTGTCGGTTCTCGAAAGGACAGATCGACAATCAATGCCATCGATTTTGCCATCAGAGCTGCTCGGGAAGACATTACGGGAAAAAGGTTTCTCAGGGTTCAATTCTATTGCCGTTGCTGTAGAATATTATGTATGACAATTTGGTCAGGCCACCTATGCCTGAAGAAACTATTACGCTCTGCTTTGTCGACGGTCTTCCAATCATAGTTCGTGGTAAACTCTTGGAAGAGATAAGTTATAATGCGAACAAGGCAGTCCTCACCATTCGTCAATGGCTTGTAGATCATAGAACTGAGACAGTATTAATAACCAGTATGAAACTTATTTAGCCGTCATGAATTTGATGTCTTATCTAAGCCATCTATTAGATACCTCAGAGTGAAGTTTGACGGCAGACTTCGGTTACATGAACACTTGCACAAATTTAGCACCAGAATAGTGCAAGAGATTAATGATTTGGTCAGGATTATGCCAAATATTGGTGGACCTACCGAAAATTATAGAAAGCTTCTGGCTAATGTATTCTTTAACGTGATTATGTATGCAGCAATCGATATCGATTAGAGAGGCAAAAATGGAAAAAGATAATGTCAAAAACCAAATAATAATTTCTTGGTTTATTATTTTCAATAATCAACCATTGTGATCGACGAAAAATTCAAAAACTTAACCTCCTCTCGAAATTTGAGGTTTCACGCTTCAGGATGCGTAGAATTCGAAAAACGAATACAATTTTTTTTGTCCGTCCACGCATTTTCTCCGAAACTACTGGACCGATTTTTTAAAAATTTGGATATAAAATCAGAAGTCACCCGAGGATGATCCTCCTTCATCGACATTACTATCCGCTTTTTACTTTCAAAATGGCGGGCGAAAAAACTGCGTTGCTATAGACTGTAGCTCCTAAATGAATGTACCGATTTCAATGAAACTTCGCTAAAGTCATTTTCTTGATTCCCCTTAAATTTATCTATATAACATACTTCAACGAAAAGAAGCTGGAAAAAAAGTTACGAGGGACGGTAAAAATTAATTCCGAATAACTCAGAAAGTAAACACTTTTTTGTCGTTTTTTTTTTAAAGTTTACGGAATTTCCTGAAAAAAAAAGTTAAAATCGGACAATTAGGAGCAAAGATATGGCCTCCAGTTTTTTTAAAAATATGTTCAACTCGAAACGTTATATCCTTTGTTTGGTTTTTAAATTTTGAATGTGTTTCTGAAGTAATGCCATTTTTTTTATCACATTACTGACGATTAAAAAAAAAAGTTTAGTCCAATAATTTGCAATCACCTTTTATTTATTTTTCTTTGTAACTAGGAAGATAATGTTACTTTAGATGTATAGCTGTTTGGAAATAATAAACCATTGTGAAATAAAAAACCTGCATAATGTAAGTAAGGGAAATTTTCAGCACTTCACTCTCTTTGTAATTAGTTATAGTTCAAAACTGTAATTTTACCTGATGCCGAGTTACGGAGTCAGAAAGTGACAACGATAGCGCCAAATTAATGACACCAGTTATAGAAGTTTTATATGTTACCAATGATTTTGAGTGGATATTCAATGTTGATTTCTCAAAAGACCCATGGAAGACTTTTGTTGCTTTTTGCTAAATCAACAAGAGATTTGGATTTTTAGAATTATCCAAATGATAGCACAACGAAATATCGAACGATTGACGGCGTTTTTTTTTTAGATATTTAGCGATTATGTTTTAATCAAAAGTATTTATCGCATATTTTAGTCATTATAAACTTATTGATTCATTTTTAGAGTATGATAAAAACAATGATCAGTCGGAGTGATGTATAAACAATTATAACTGTATGTATTGTAAATGTTATTACTTTGAGAATGTGAAACAAAAAAAAAAAAAAAATTAACTTCATGTTATTAATCCTCGTTGATTTTCTCACTCCTATTGTGTGGTTTTAATCATACGTCGTAGTAAGTCGAATTTTTTTTTTTAATTCTGAGTATACTTGATTAATACAGGAAGCCAGAAATAAGTATCAAACTCATTTTTATATTTTTATTTATATAAATAGATACCAAAGAATATGTATCAATCATCGTTATGGTTCAGCTGTAGGGACAAGGATCATTAGTAGTAGTAGTAATAACGTGGGTAACGTTATCCAAAATATCTCGGGTAACCTGTAACAATATGATACATCATTCATATGATATATACTTCATTCATGATTATGGATAGATTTATTATAGATTTGTATACATCATTCATTTCTAGGTAGCAACTAATGGTTATTATATTTTTTTTCAATACTTAAAAAAGCTCTCCTCGCGCGGGCTCATTACCGCGTATGGGGAGCGTCCCACGGGTGGCGGATGTGGGGATGGTCGGTGGAAATTTCTTGGAAGTTCCTCCCGGCTAAGTCCGATGGACTCGCTGACCAACAATGAGAGGGGCCCTCCAGACTTGCTGGAGGGAGGGGACCTCCAGACTTGCTGGAGGTAGGGGCCCACCAGACTTGCTGGAGGGTGTGACGTAGGATTGAAATTCTATTGGGCGAAAGAGAATCCCCCTGTTTTAAGCCCGAACGAACCTCAAATTTTTCGGACAAATTATTACCGATTCTAACTTTATTGAGTGTCTCCGTCAAGCACATCCTGACTAGATTTACTAGTTTTTTTGGAATCCCCTGCTCGATTAGAATATTATACAGTTTCTGGCGGTCAATAGAATCGTAAGCCTTTTTAAAATCTATATACAGCTGGTGAACAATACCGTTATACTCCAATTTTTTCTCTAATATCTGCCGTAAAGAAAATATTTGATCAATAGTCGAACGATTCCGTCTAAATCCGCATTGGTAGTCTCCGATAATTTCCTCGGCGTATTCCACGATTCGACTGGTTAAGATTAAAGTGAATATTTTATAACATACCGGAAGGAGTGAAATTCCTCGATAGTTATTACAATCCGTCCTCGGACCCTTTTTGTGAATCGGAATAAGAATAGATTCTTTCCATTCTTCAGGTAATTTCTCGTTCACCCAGATCTTTTTAACCAACCGATGTATTTTAGAAACTCCAGCTTCTCCGCATGCCTTAATTAGTTCAGTAGGAATATTATCGATTCCCGCTGCTTTATATGATTTTAATTTTCCGATAGCTGCTTCAACTTCCTCTTTACTTGGTCCTTCTATTAACGGTTCAGCACTCTGGTACTCAGAAGGAGGACACAGATCATAATTTCCCGTATTTAAAATATTGTCAAAGTGGTCCTTAAATTTATTCAATATGTCAACCGGATCGGTCAGAATATTGTTATTATCATCCCTAATTCCAGACGTTACGGGCCCTACATATTTACGTGATCTGTTTATACCTTTGTACATGTCTCTTACGTTATTTTCGATTCTATTAGTTTCTATTTCAATTATTTTATTTTTAAGATACTCCCTTTTTTTATTTTTGAGCAATTTTGTCGTTTCGTTCTTTGAGATTCGGAAGTATTCCAGATTGTCTTCGCTAGGATTATTTAGAGCTTTTAATTTAGCGGCTTTTCTTTTTTCGCACATGTTTAAGCAATCTTCATCAAACCACGGTTTGTTATTCTTATTTTCCTTTTTTCCTAGACACGAGTTACCGACCGCTTTAATATTATCTCTGATCTCTATCCATAACTTGTCAATATCCTCGTGGTCCTCGTCAGGAAGCTCTAAAGCTTCAAACCTATTCTTAACATCTAGCTCGAATTGGTTTCTAATTGATGGATTTTTTAATTTTTCCAAATTAAAATTCTCAAAATCGAAACGGTTTTCTTTTCTCTTTTTTATATTAAGTTTTTGTCGAAGTTTCGCGATTACTAATTCATGATCCGACCCACATTCTGCTCCGTGATAAGACCGTACATTAATTATACTGCTTTGCCAGCTGTGTTGTATCAAGACATGATCGATTTGATTTCGTGTTTGCGAATCCGGTGATGTCCAAGTATATTTATGAATATCCTTATGTTTAAACGTCGTACTTTTAATTATCAGGTTTTTCGAGATGGCAAAGTTTATCAGACGGATCCCATTATCATTACTATATTCGTGTAAACTTTCTTTACCAATCGTCGGAATATAAACTTCTTCCCTTCCTACCTTTGCGTTCGCGTCACCTACAACTATTTTCATGTAATTTCGCGGTAGTTTATCATAAACCCATTCGAGTTTATCGTAAAATTGGAGTATAACGGTATTGTTCACCAGCTGTATATAGATTTTAAAAAGGCTTACGATTCTATTGACCGCCAGAAACTGTATAATATTCTAATCGAGCAGGGGATTCCAAAAAAACTAGTAAATCTAGTCAGGATGTGCTTGACGGAGACACTCAATAAAGTTAGAATCGGTAATAATTTGTCCGAAAAATTTGAGGTTCGTTCGGGCTTAAAACAGGGGGATTCTCTTTCGCCCAATAGAATTTCAATCCTACGTCACACCCTCCAGCAAGTCTGGTGGGCCCCTACCTCCAGCAAGTCTGGAGGTCCCCTCCCTCCAGCAAGTCTGGAGGGCCCCTCTCATTGTTGGTCAGCGAGTCCATCGGACTTAGCCGGGAGGAACTTCCAAGAAATTTCCACCGACCATCCCCACATCCGCCACCCGTGGGACGCTCCCCATACGCGGTAATGAGCCCGCGCGAGGAGAGCTTTTTTAAGTATTGAAAAAAAATATAATAACCATTAGTTGCTACCTAGAAATGAATGATGTATACAAATCTATAATAAATCTATCCATAATCATGAATGAAGTATATATCATATGAATGATGTATCATATTGTTACAGGTTACCCGAGATATTTTGGATAACGTTACCCACGTTATTACTACTACTACTAATGATCCTTATCCCAAAAGCTGGACCATGACGATCATTGATACATATTCTTTGGTGTCTATTTATATAAATAAAAATATAAAAATGAGTTTGATACTTATTTCTGGCTTCCTGTATTAATCAAGTATACTCAGAATTAAAAAAAACAAATTCAACTTACTACGACGTATGATTAAAACCACACAATAGGAGTGAGAACGTCAACGAGGATTAATAACATGAAGTTAATTTTTTTTTTTTTTTGTTTCACATTCTCAAAGTAATAACATTTACAATATATCCAGTTATAATTGTTTATACATCACTCCGACTGATCATTGTTTTTATCATACTCTAAAAATGAATTAATAAGTTTATAATGACTAAAATATGCGATAAATACTTTTGATTGAAACATATTCGCTAAATACCTAAAAAAAAATCTGTCAATCATTCAATATTTCGTTGTGCTATCTTTTGGATCATTCTACCAATCCAAATCTAATGTTGATTTTAAAAAAATCAACGAAAGTCTTGATGATGGGTCTTTTGAGAAATCAACATTGAATATCCACTCAAAATCATTAGCAATATATAAAACTTCTGTAACGGGTGTCAGTAATTTGGCGCCATTACGAGAAATTTCGCGAACGAGAAATTACCTGAAGAATGGAAAGAATCTATTCTTATTCCGATTCACAAAAAGGGTCCGAGGACGGATTGTAATAACTATCGAGGAATTTCACTCCTTCCGGTATGTTATAAAATATTCACTTTAATCTTAACCAGTCGAATCGTGGAATACGCCGAGGAAATTATCGGAGACTACCAATGCGGATTTAGACGGAATCGTTCGACTATTGATCAAATATTTTCTTTACGGCAGATATTAGAGAAAAAATTGGAGTATAACGGTATTGTTCACCAGCTGTATATAGATTTTAAAAAGGCTTACGATTCTATTGACCGCCAGAAACTGTATAATATTCTAATCGAGCAGGGGATTCCAAAAAAACTAGTAAATCTAGTCAGGATGTGCTTGACGGAGACACTCAATAAAGTTAGAATCGGTAATAATTTGTCCGAAAAATTTGAGGTTCGTTCGGGCTTAAAACAGGGGGATTCTCTTTCGCCTGTCCTGTTCAATTTGGCATTAGAACATGCCATTAGGGAGGTAATGCGAACCGAGAAAGGGTTGGATCTGGGCGGTACAACATCCGTGCTTGGCTATGCGGATGATCTGGTACTGTTAAGCGAAGACGTTGAAACTATAAAACTAAATACGACAACGTTAATGAAAGCCGGGAAAGAACTAGGACTCGAAATAAACGTGGATAAAACAAAATATATGGTTAGCTGCAAAAATGGCGATACTACTGGTGATATCGATATAGATGGTAATATGTTTGAACAGGTAGATAAATTTAGGTATCTAGGTTCTACGATAACTAGAAAAAACGAAATTGAAGAAGAGATTAAGGTTAGACTGAAGGCGGGGAATGCTTGTTATTTTTCTGTGACAAAACTACTTAGTTCGCGCCTCTTGTCCCGAAACTTAAAAATTAGAATCTATAAAACAATTATCTTGCCTACAGTTCTTTATGGATGCGAAACTTGGCCGCTTACATTAAGGGATGAGCAGCGTCTTAAGGTTTTTGAAAATAAAGTATTGCGTAGAATATTCGGACCGAAAAAGGATGAGTTAACCGGAGAGTTCAGACGGTTACACAATGCCGAATTGCGTGAGCTGTATCCGGGTAATATAATTGAGGTAATTTCATCGCGGCGAATCAAATGGGCTTGTAAAGTTGTTGGGCTTAGTAACGAGAGAATTCCTAAAAGGTTAATATTTGCTGTGCCGAATGGTAAGCGTCCGAGGGGTAGACCGAAGCGAAGATGGGAAGATTGCGTTAAAGCCGATCTGAAGGGACTGGGTTTGGACGGCGAACGGTGGAGGGAGGTGTGTAACAAGCGATTGGTGGTGTCGGCATCGAACCTTCGGGTTCGCTAAGCCTTATTATTATTTACTTAAAAAACCTCATATACAATTTTTGTTTGCTAAATTCTACCATAAGCAATAATAATCCGTGGTATAGACCACTTTTTATGGAATTATTAACATCCGTCTGGAACTTCATAAATAGTTTCATCTCATCGTAGCCTACAACTACTTTATTTACCACCAAACTCTTGGAATTGGTTTCTTTTTCAATCTGGAGGGAGCAAACTTTGTCTATTTAATTAGGTACTAAAAATTCGTAAATACACGTTTGCTTTCTATTTGGTCCATAAGATAATTTGATCACAAAATCGAGATAAAAGGTGGCCTTAAAAAATATTGAGCCGTTTGGCGTGACCTACACCACCAAATTTTCTAAATAACGAGGTCATGTAGGACAAACAAAATTATCTTACGATCCTCGTAGAAAGCAAATGTGTATTTACGAGTTTTTAGTACTTAATTAAATAGACAAAGTTTGCTCTCCCCCTTCCAGATTGAAAACGCCCCAATTCCAAGAGTTTTCGTAAATAAAATAGTTGCGGGTTACGGTGAGATGAAACTATTAACGAAGTTTCAGGCGAATGTTAATAGTTCGATAAAACGGAGTCTGTACCACGAACCATAAAGTAGGTTGATAATTTTATTTAAATAATAAGTTTTCCAGATGTCTGTTTTTATTTAATCATTTTATGAAGTTTACAATATAAATATTAATAGATTTTCCTTAATATTATTTGATCGTTGAAGAGCCTATGTATGATTGCTTACCAAAGTACCTGTACCCTCCTCCGAACCCGTAGTACCCTGGTCCTCCTACGGCGAACCCAAACCTTACAGTCGAGTCCACCTCCAGGTCTTCTTCAGCCATTGTCGAGGCTAGGATCACCAGTAGGAGCAACAGTAGGTTCTGCAACAGGAGACCTCAACATCTATAAGCGGCCATTACTATAGTACAAAAAGGATCCGCCATAATTTTAAAAAAAATATGACCATAAACCAAATATAATTGATTAATTTATTTAATATGGTTTATAGATGTTTAAAAATGAAACATTAAGGCTGTTGTATGCTCATAGTCTTTAAGATTTAAGATTTGATTAAGCTCACTTTAAGCACTGATCTAAAGAAAAAATATATATATCTGTCAGCTATGTATGACATTTATCTTTTGCAAATTCATATCGGAAGAAACTTGACTATTGCCAGAACTAACTTATATGAAATAGAATAAATTCCTTATTACAACACCGAAATCAAGACTACCTTTCTTAACCTGATAGTATCTAGAATAGAACAGAAAAAGCAACTTTATTCTGGGACAAAGTTCCTAAAGAATAGCAATGGTGTACAGACAAATAACGATTAATTATGGCCGTAAGACCTGTAGCAATAAATACATAACTAAGAAATATATAAATGAACATAGTAATCAAAGATATATTAAAAACATAGGTGAAATTTAGTGTAACAATATATTTAATGCAAAAAATAAAACAAAAAAAAATTAAGGTGTGTGTTTAAGAAAACACGAAAGAAGTGAAAACATTAACAAATGGAGATTGATAATATGAAATTGAAATTATAAATAATACCTCATTATAAAAAAAATGGAATGCTGAACATTTTCCTCGGTTACAGTATGAAGCACAGATTTTTAGTTTTTGAGTTATTTTATTCCATATCTTAAATAAAACTCGTTATAATTTTGTTTTTGAAATATTTTATTCTATATCTTCAATAAATCTCGTCATAATTTGGTTTTTGAGATATTTTATTCCATATCTTCAATAAAACTCGTTATAATTTGGTTTTTCGCCACTATTTGCCTCCCTAACAAGGCGCCGCGTTAAGATGCCATTTTGAATAATAGCCCATTACAGAGAGGATGAAATGCTGAACAATTTCCCGCTTGCAGTATGCAGGACCGATTTTTAGTTTTTGAAATATTTTAATCCATATGCAAAAACATTTCAATTAGTCGACTTTACCGCGCGTTACACATCGGAGATCTGACGGCTGAATCTAATTCACTCTTCACAAAAAAAGCGCGAAACGCGCCTGAAGAAGTTTTCACTTCAAAATATTTACATAAGTTATTTAAAAAATGGTTTATAATTGGTTGCCTCTAAAAAAATCTAATTTTCAAAGAATTTTCTGTAATTAGCAGGCTAAGAATGGATCACCCAACATGCAAGACATGTTACGATGTTAATCTGACTGTATGACAGTCTCTTTCAGTATGAGAAATATCGTAAACAATGAATAGAACTAAAAACTTAAGGCGTAGCTCCATGCAAAAGGAACAGTGGAATTGACAAAACTCTAAAGTTCATCAAATATACAAAGTTAATAAATTATATTTAAGAATAGTGATCACCGCTAAGCGAGGTTATATAACAGAAAAAAAAAATAATTAGAACTACTGTGTTATAAGGAAAAGGAAATGAAATATTTACTCACTCTACATATAGAATATTATTTAAGTAAGTCTCATTCGACTACACCAAAAACTAAGTAATATAACAATTAAAATGCTTCTGAATTCAGAGTTAATAAAAAAAATGTATTCAAAACATTTAGAATCATACATTCAATGAGTAGCAATACGATAAACTTAATTTAGCTATTGTATTAATGAGTATGGTCAGAAACGGTGGCGTAAATAAAAATGATGTGAGTGCCGAAACGATTCAAGGGACGCAAGAAAAATCAAATAAAGGAAAAAAAATTGAAAGGGGTAAACTGAATTTTTGAGGGGATGCGGAAATTTTTGAGTATTCTTGATTATGGTTGATGGCATCCATGATTATCTGATAGGTTACTAAGATCCCTACAAAACAAAACAAAAAAATCACCGGAATCCATTATTAGCAAAAATACAGCTTATTTTAAACATGTTGGTTTAAAACGTGAATGAAGTTTTAAATTAGTTTTATTTTCCTTGGTTGGTTATAATTACCGATGGAATAAGAATTGATTCTGCCATTGAATAATGTAATTTTCTTATTATTTTGTCATTTGTTCACTGAACAATAGACTTAGCGAATTATTCGGACGGACTAACTATTATTATTCTTGAAAAAAAAAAAGAAAAAGAAAAATCGAGTTCCATTGAAAGAATAAACATTTAAATTGAAATCAATTTACATCTGCTTAAGAATGTTTTTTTTCATTATGCAATTACCTGTTGCGCCAAATGTCCGAGGCCAGTATTGCGTTAAAGTCTCTTTATTTTCGATGCTTGTTGATAAGTGTATCAAAAACATATTAAATGGCTAAGTTTAATCTGTAAAAAACTTGTGAGCTGGTTTTACAGGTATAAAACGTTATTATGAAAAGGTTTTCTTTTAGACTTATTGTTTTTTTAAATATTGTAGCACGAATTATTCTTTAAAGTTTCATATGGTGTAATTATAATTATTTCGTGCATGACGCGTCTCACTAAGATTAATGGTTTCTCAATTCACTTCCTAATATTTTCTCTCTGGTTTTGAAAGTTTATTTCGTTCATTCCATCAAGAAGCTATAACTTAAATTAAAGAGACTTTAATGACTGATAGATGTATAATAGATGACTGACTTACCTTAGGTAGGATCATATTTCTTCACTCTTCCTATAGTGACTACCAGTCAACTTAGCGTCCCTAGTCATTTTTGTTAAGAAGGTCGTCTTATGCAACGGTGCATAAGACCGTCTTCTTTGCTGAAGGAGTACTGTCATCAGATCTCAATTAAGAGGAGAAGTCGTTTCTTGAACTTGATGGCAGGTGTTAAATGCAACGTTAATTGAAGTACCTCAACCGTATTCTGTAATTAGGCCGATATGACACTTAGCATATTATTATTTTGTAATATGTTTGCTATCTTATATGTTGAAGTGGAGTGTTGAAGAGGGAAATAAAAAAGGAAATTGAATAATTTGAGTTTATTTACTCTGTTATGATGACCGGGGGTTCGTCATCATGAAGGACCGAAAACACATTTTGTAATAGTGCCCTTTTTACACTGCAAGCTTAAAAGATCTCGGAATACCCCAGAATATATCAGCATCCCTGGGAAATCTAGATGAAATCGTTACCAAAGTCATCAAGTTCCTGGATAGTGAAAGACTTAAAAAACACATATGACAAGCTTATAATTAATGATCCTTTGCAGATTTATTATTATTTTTCTATTTATTTTTATTATATTTATTTATTTTTATTTATTTATTTCATTTAATTATTATTTTATTTATTTCATTTGTTCATTTCAAGTTCATTTGTTTATTAATCTCAATTCATTTATTGATTTCATTGCTATTTTTTTAAAGTTTATTTATTTATCTGTTCCATCTTATTATCTATAAATGTCTATTATTATCCTTATTTATTTATTTTATCCTTTCAATCCATTTCTTTACTTTTTTTATCCTTTTTTTTATTTTTTGTACCAACCATCCAAATAGTATTAAATGGTGTTATTTAGTTGATCGGGCGCTCATGACCTGGATGTTTTGCGCCTAGACATCGAAACAAACAAACAACAATGAAGGACCGATGAGTTAAATAGGCTTTTCCAGTCTTTATCATCATGATAATATCTTTGTGAGAACTCTCTCATTAAATAACAACCAATCTCTCTAATGCATTTGGCATATACGTAGAACATTATCAAGATTGTCTATTCAACGTACATACAAATAAAACTTCATACTTTGCTACGACTGTTGAAATAATAATTAACTTAATAACTGATCAGCTCGTCCCACTGAAAAATATCCCTCCAATATAATGGTTAACCAGTAAGAAACAGCTATCTTGCTATATAGCTTGAACTAATACTAATACTGATTCCTATTGCACTCTCTCAAGACCTATTTGTTGGGTGTTGAATAGTAGGTCTTGGTTGAATTGGGTCTTGGTTAGTAGTTATTTCACTTACTTAAATATAGAATTCTATTTCTGAGGATGTAGAAGCCATACCTGGATAATTTTTTTGAAGTAAAGGGAATTAGATTGAGCCGTCTGATTTAAAATGTGTAACACTCGGGTAAAGTCGGATGGAGGCGACTAATTATGGATTAAAGTATCTCAGAAACTAAAAATCTGCAAAAAAATAATTACACTAACAAGATCTATTCTTTTAGAGATAAGTTTTTAATATTTGTTTATGAGACATGATTATATTTTTCCATTTTGGGTGGAGGAGGGGAGGAGAAGGCTTAAGCCCGAAAGTTCCCCTCCCTTCCATTTACCTTTCCAATTGATTTTTAGTTCATCGAAGACTGCCAGAAATATCAATATCGTCTTTGTTAGTGCTTAAGGTAGTATGTAACAATTTCACATGTTCATCCTATTTGTTCTAAAGGTGACATTTTGTATTCTGCAACTGATATAAGCAGTCTGCTACTATGGTAAATAGCAGAGGGAAATCAAATATGAAATTATACTAATAATTCTTACAGATATAATCAGTTTTTACAGATACAATCCTTTGCACTAACACTAGCGATACATTAGTTTTTGAAACCTAGACATGTTAAAAGTATTCCATGGCAACCATACTGCCTAAGAAGTATTCTGAAAGAATTAAGATTTATCTAGAAAACAGGAGATGTTTTTAAAGGATTTATACCGTCTCGATGTCTCCTCTTTTGAAACCATGTGCGCTTTGAAACCTTCCATTTTTACTTTCCTACCTATACTAGATAAGGGAAGTATTGCGATCGGGTCAAATTTCAGATATGTAGCTTTCGACGGATCTATACGTTTCAGAACCCCCTGAGTTCGAAAAACACATTTTAACCTGTTATTTTTTTGAATGGTGATGAATGAAATTCCCTAGAAAACTGTATAAAAATCGTTCATTTCGGACAACTATTAACGAAGTTACAGCTATTCAATTTCCAATGTAAGATTATGGGTTCATATCCTGGTGTCAGAAAGGGGTGAATGAGAGAATAAAGATGACTAAGTGAAAGTAAGAAAATCTGTTGCCCGCATCACACAAGCTTCACTATTTCCTCTACTTTTAACAGATATGCGGTTTGAAACCTTCAATTTTTACTTTCCTATCTATACTAGATAAGGAAAGTATTGCGATCGGATCAAATTTCCGATATGTGGTTTTCGACGGATCAATACGTTTCAGAGCCCCCTGAGTTTGAAAAACACATTTTTATCCATTGTTCTGTCTGTCTGTCTGTGCCAAGATTTTCTCGGGAACTAGTGAACCGGCTTTGTTGCTTCTTATTTTATTTTGTAGGGTTGAAACTACTAATGCCTGTGACGAAAATTGGTTGCGCTGCTGCCCAATAAATCAAAAACATGTTTTTCGATAGACTGTAGCTCGAAGACGGTTCTAACGATTTTGTTGAAACTTTCTTATAATTTTCTAATAATTGTCCTTTCAATTTTCGTACATAGACTAAATTCCCGAAAAAAAATCAGGAAAGAAAGATATAAAGAAAAGAAAAATGTTTTGGGGCCTAACTCGTTAAGTCTATATTCTATGGTAAAATTTATAATAAATAATTAAATTACCATAACAAAAAAAAAAAGAAAGGGTTGAATGAGAGAAAAAAGATAATTAAGTAAAAGTAAGAAAATCTGTTGCCCGCATCACACAAGCTTTATTATTTCCGCTAGTTTTAACAGAAATTAATATTTGACAAAATTAGGCTATGCCAAAAAGGTTTTGATCAGCAATATTAGAGGGTGTTGACATTTTTACACTGATATACCTTAAGCCGGTTTACATTGCTTTAGTTTATCTAATTTTTTTATTTTTTTTTTTTATTGATAAATATTACAATCTGTCTCAATAAAGAACATTTTTAATAGAGTTCTGAGAGCACATTCACACCATATTTACAAATGTTTATCTAATAAATCGTACTCAAATATTTTCTTTGAATTTATTTTCAGAAAAATAAATCTAATATTTTTTTGTTTCTTGATGGACATATGTGAAGAAATAAATTCTTTTCTGAAATAAATAGGAAAGCCGTGTGTGTGAACACACTAGATTTTTTTTCAACGAAATTTATTAAAGTTGTTGTAGGACTTTAAGTAGGACTTTGTTGTTTGATTCCTCGTCCATCAAAAATTCTCTTCTGAGACTCTTCTGATCCCTAAAAGGAGTTTATACTATTGCCTTATAATTAGCGTAGATTTTTGACAAAATAGTGAAGAAGTGCGAGTTTTGAAATGTCATTTACATTCGAAATTTAATTATTTAAAGTTCATTGAATAGGGAATAAATCAAAGAAGGAAATAGCGAAGGACGAATCTTCGTTAAAACGCCAGTAACAAAGTAGCTCTATTCAAAGAAAATGATAGGTATAAAACCACTGATTATGAAATGCGTATTGGAGCGAAACTAAAGCTCGAGTTAGTGAATCGCATATTCAGTTGCAGTACGAACCAAACTGCATCAAGGTAAATGTACTAATAATAGGCTGAAAAAGAAAAAGTAAATTTTATTCTGACACTAAGTCCCCTTAGAATAACTACAATGTACAATTTAATGACAATTGTATGTTATAAGAAATAATTATGAATAAATTAATTTACAAGGTTATCTAGTTCTAAAATTTTTTATTTTAATGAAATTTACAACTGTATTACATAGAAAATACAACAAGTAAATGTGACATTGGTAACATGACATGTACAACATGAAGAGAAACTAACCATTGGTAGAACTCAAATTAAAGTTCTATATTAGAAGGTCCCGAGGCCATATTCTTTTCAGACGCCTCGGAGGGTTATCAAGAATCGAGAGGAAGCAAGGTTTGAAACAAGAGGATTCGGATGGTTCTGCAGTTTATTATGGAAGGATAGGTATCTGGATTGGGCTAAATCGGAAACATATGGTACGTTAAGGGTCGTTATGGATGATTTTATTTGTGACAAAGTAAGGAGCGTTGAGGATTTGACGAAGGATTTTGGATTGTAAGGATTGGATGTGAGAGGAATTCGATGGTTTAGTGGAACCCAAAAGCTCAATTCCGTAAGTCCAAATAGGTCTTATTATTGTCATATACATGAGTCGTTTGTAGCGTTTGTCTAGTAAGTGCTGCAGTAGTCGAAAACGTCGTGTGGTTTCTTGTCGTTTCAAGTTCTAAAATTAAAATAAAGAAAAGGCACTCAATAGACATATGAAATTATAGATAAATTCTGATGAGCTAGTTCACATATTTGTATATATTAATAATGTGGATGTTATATAATTATATACAGGATAACATTAAGTGCGACCGACAGGTCTGGAAAAGTGAACATTATTTTACACTTATTCGGAAGATTGATTGCTGAGGAGATGGATAGATAAATTATGTTTAAATGAGGTCAAGGATGAGGATTTGCGTATTGAGATTGATAGAGAATTCCAAAACGAGGTAGCACGTACGACGAAGGATTTTTTAAATAAAACAGTTCTATGAGAAGAAATAAACAGGTTTGAAGGCTGGGATCTCGTGTTGAACGAATGGACAGATGAACAAGGAGTAAATAAATTGAGAGGGTATGAGGTGTTTTTTAGTTGAAAAGGTTCAAAAAAGAAAAGTCCTAGAGAATATTGCCGTTGAAAGACTGGATTGAATCACTTCAACTCTTCATACCAACTGAAGAGATAGGAACGTCTGGGGACTCCAAAAATAAATCTAATGAAACAATTCATTAATCTCATTAGTCATTAGTCAAGCCTATCAGACAGTCCACCGTATACAAGGCGGCTATATTCGAAATGAGGGAAAATGAGAGGAAACTAGGAGCTGACGAATTTTAAGGGGCATGGAATCATGGATTCTTAGGAATTATTTGAGGGTTGCAATAAATTTTCAGTAATTAATAATATAATAGAAGATGTTCATCGTTC